CAGATGAATGGGAGAACTACTCCATGGAGAAAGAAGCAAAAGCAGAATCAGACGCGGAATTCATACTGTGAAGGATGGATTCCTGCTCCTGGACGTTGATCGGCACTTCTCCAAGCTTAAACTGGCCTCCAATGGTGTTGAAGATCAATCTAGGGCACTTGGAGACTCTTGTTCGTCACTTTCTCTCTCTAGGAATCGCTCTATCTCTCTCAAAACTCGAATCCCCTTCTGTTTTGCTGAAAATCTGCTTAAAAGGGCATCAGTGGCCAAAACACGGTCGAGGGCACGGCCGTGTAATGCCTTAGCCCGCCCGTATTTTGGCCAGGGTTAATTACACGGCCAGTGCTTTGGGCGAAACACGGGCTTGGTCGATGATGGACACGGCCGTGCTTCTGCCCGTGTTTTTAGCCAATGTTTGCCCAACTTGAATTAGCTCTCGGCAGTAAAAGCACGGCCACAGAACACGTCCGTGTTCTGTTTTAGGTCTGCCCGTGTTTTGGCTCCAGCTTGACGAAATGACCTCTGAATGCCCCGAAACTCGTGCTTAGCCTTTCCTTTGACACCTGGGACCTGAAACATGACAAAATAGCACAACCCGGCGTATAATAGGCAAAAAATACACGACTATGCCCCTCAAACGGAAAGAACTAGGGGCGCAAATATGTGCAATTACATCGTTATCAGGCAGCAACTTGATACCTAATTTAAAACATCAATCTAAAACAATCAATGATCTAGGGAGACTACTTATAACAAAAAAACAAAATACTTTTAATGACAGAACAAAGTTAGATCAAAGAAACAACATAGATAAGCAACATACATAAACACAATCTCTTTGTCGAATAGCCACGCACATCCCTCTACCAAGAAGCCACCGCCACGGAACCCTGAATCTTCATCATTCAAAAGATAGAATGAACTCTCTCTCCACTGAATACTCCCTCCCCTCTGCTGACCTCTCACTCTCACTGAGACTCACTCTTCCTTAGTTGCCGAATGTGGCTGAAATTACATTTCAAAAACAAAATGTTGATTTGAAAAAGTCTCAAAGAGAACCAACCAATAATTTCATCCATCTCGCTGTTTAGAATTGCATTTAACTAACATAGAGAGAAGAAAACAAAATTAAACCAACTTGTTGACTCACCCAATTCCATCCAACAATGGTGTTACCGTGAGTTGACAGAGGTGAAAATTATTTGGATTGGAGGGGGCATCTTTATAGCATAACTGCTATCCTTTTCTTGTTAGCGATCGTTCACTTACTGAATTATGGTTTAGCCTCGTGGTGCTTACAGCATTACCACCATTATCATTATTATCATCCGAATCTTCCTCATAGTAACCACCATGCCAATCTTCTTTTCCCGTGCTGTCTTCTTCCACTTTCCTTCTCACCAGTGAGTCGTAAGTCGTGACATTGTTTCTTTGGGTATCCTCGTCGTACTTCTCCTCCAATACGTTGATTACTGCCTTGATCCCCAAGGAAATTTCAAGTAGCAATCAGTATCTCAAATTGCAAGAGATCAACCGGAGAATCGGTTGCAGGAAACGAAGGATGAAAAGTAACAGAGAGAGTGAGTCGTTACATGGAATAGCTAAAGCGGTAACCGGAGGAGTGGAGATGGCGATCACCGTCGATACAGTAAAAAGCAAGCCATCAACTGTAAATGGAACAATGAAATCTCTTGTTAGAATGAGCAAACATACGTGCCAGTGCAGATACGGAGAAGAAGGAAACCGGTCTCTTTGCCTCCACTCCCCAATCTGCCGCCACCGCCGCCCTCTCCTGTTCTGCTCCGCTGACGCCTCCTCCATACTCCTCACTGACGGCACACTTATTTCCGCCGGCACACTTATCTCCATCTTCTGATACATATATGCGGTAACAGGGTAAGAAAAGGAATACATATCGAATGAATGATTTTGATCATAGGGAGAATTTCACCGGCAAAAACACACAGAAGAGCGCCAGTGAGGAGTTTCAGAACGATGAGAACCCATTTCAGGAGCTGGCAGGATTTAACTTAATGCATCAACACACTCTAGGAAAAAACAGGGAAAGATTGAAATAAAAGATCCCGGAGAAGAGATACACTGGGAGATGGGAAATTATTGCCTAGACGGAACTATTAATAGGAGAGATCCCGATTTGTCTGTCGTCAACATCGATAACTCTGAGAATTTACCGACAGCAAGGTTTCCACCTGCTCATGCTAGATTGGAAAGAATGGTGTAATTCATGGTGGTAAGGAGGAAGAGAGGGTCAGTTGAGTGTGGAAACATGAGGTGCAACTGAAATTGAAAAGTACCGAATCAGAGAGAAGAATTCTTGTCTCTCTCTAATCCAGAGGAGTAAAGTAAGCCTAAGGAGTAAGGACTGTATAAATCTATGGGCGGTGGCATATGGGAAGGAGTCTGCAACTTTGAGTGCTGGGACATGAGAGGAAAGGACATTGCTGAACAGGTGCCTTGTGATTGTAGATTTGGAGGTGAGGCTGTGAAAGGATGGGGATACAGAAGACAACTCCGAGGAGCTCTTTTCAGATAGGTTGAGCAACCAATTTCGGAAGCCCTTTTAGTCCCACGTAGGAAACGACAGAATAATGAACAGTAACCATAACATTCTTGGCCAATAAAGCGTACCCACCTTTTATGTTTTAAAGAATTAATTGGGGGTTCATTTGTTATTTAGACGTTTTTGTGTTATGTCGGATATTTCAGGGATTACTGGGGTTAAATCGGTTAGGTTAAGTCTTTGGGTAGTTATAGGGAATTCGTCGGATTATATATATTCTGTGTTAGGCCTAAACTAGGGTTAAGCAATAACAACAGAATTATTCCCTAAAGCTCTCTCTCTCTCTCTCTCTCTCTCTCAACCACCGACCCCTTTCCCCTCTCACACCCGTCGGCCACCATCTTGGTGACCCGACCTCTTCTTCTCTCAACCATAATTCCCATTCTACCTCACCCCAAATTCCCAATTCGCATATCAATTCCAATCCCTAATCGCACACCTAGATCCGTGCTCTTTCAGTGGTATCAGAGCCTGGCTGGTGTGCGATTATCTGAAGGAACGTTGCAATTCGAAGCTGTCAAACCCTACAGACAAACAGCAACCGCCGCGCCAGAACAAGGAGGTCGTGACAGTCAAGGATGTGACGACAAGCAAGTATGATGTGATGGCAGCATTGTTGGAAAGCTTGACGGAGGTTACTGTGAGGGCAGCTGAGGCCTCGAGGGGCTCAATCAGGGCAATCGAAGCCATGGGTGACCAGATCAAGGATTCCATCGAAGAGATGGGCAAGAGCGTGGCTGAAAACATCTGCGGAGCCCTAGCGGCGACGATGCAGGAGGTGCTAACCCAGGTTCTTAGGAACCGGGAGCGGCCGACGACCACAACCCTGGGGGTGACGCCGGCAGCAGCCGCGGCGGGGATGGCAGGCCAGGAGGGCGGCGATGCGGCGGCGGTAGCGCGCCGGGAGGGGGCGGCGGTGATGAGGCTGGGGAGGCGCGGGTCTTGGCCTAAAGGTAGATGTACGAAAGACTTTCTCAGGACTGCATACGGATGAACCCTGGACACGGTAAGTAACTTCGTTAAGAGTCGTTATCTCAGTAAAGGCTTGAATCTTACTCAAGCCGTAATCCATAGCCGTAGTAGATGAAGATTCTGGGCTGCCAGTGGCTGGGATCCTATTCCAAACCAACTCTGGAGTTCTGACAACAGTTACTGCAGGATCTAAAGAGTCAGATGCCTCAGCTAACCTACAGCAAGCACAAGGAGATGGCTCAAGAAGAATAATCATTTCTGTTGCCCATTGTCACTACAAAACATGTAGGGAAATTAAGAGAATATTTTTCCATTTCAGCTGGAATTTTCAAGAGCTATTACCAAGTGGCTTTCGGAGAGTGGCAATCGAGGTCAATAACGTTGCAACTTTCACTGTCGTCTTCTATTATGATTGGCTTCACTTCTCGTATGGAGTCAAAGTTCGCAGAAGGGCTACATTTTGGTGCAGCAACTAGCTTCTGTCCACAACAACTCAGCTTGCTCCACCTATTATTGCTTTCACCTGTACATCTATTATCCTGATCCTTGGTGATATCTTTCTCCTCCTTAACCACACAAAATTTAGCAGTGGGCTGGGTGTATTTATAGCAACAGCTGCCTATAAGCAGGTTCATATAGGAAAAAGTGTGACCTTAAATGAGTCAAAAGCGCTTAAACTAGAAACTAAGGTAGGTTATATGCAAAAGAGAGGTTGACAAAGTGGAAACCTTGGCATCATTGAAAAATCTTTTTAATCCTTCAAGCGACTCGTCGAAACTATCATGGTGTTGAATGGATTTTCTGAGCCACTTGGAAATGTATGCCAAGTTCCTCTCTTCCTGATAGCGCTCATCTGCTCTAAGAAATTCAGGTCAGCTTGATGAAACAAAGAATGGAAGGACGAGTTCAAGAAACTGCATTGGGAACCATATCAGCTTTTTTACTTCATGTTCACTGACGTAGGTCTTTAAAAAAACGGATATCAAAGGCATTCTATGGATATGAGGAATAACAACATTGGTTAATTTAAATCAATGCACTGTCTGAACCTGAGCCAGGATATGGATACTAATGGAGTTTCAACTTCAGAGGAAGTTCCATGCCAAGCCTTTAGAGTACATTCCACTGATCGGACTTCTAAAATTTACTTCATAAAGAATAATATGCCATGGGTATCATAGTTCAAGCATGATGCAGACACAAGTTGGGGACCAGGACTGACAATCAACATCTATTTGAATCTACCTTCGGAATACTAATCAACCAAGGAACTTCCAAAATTCGAAACACAATAAATTATTATTTGCAGTTAAACAGAGGCAGTTGTGCCTTAGTAACAGGTACAGATCTGGTCAGATATATATGAAGAACGAAGAAAGAGAACTACCTAAAAGGATGATTGCTCCATAGTCATTTTTATGGCGTATACATCGTCCTGAAAAAGAATGCAAAAATATGCCGTTTATTGTGCAAGCATTCTCCAAAACTTGATAGTGATAATTATTATTAGAACTATTAAGTCCTAAGTTCCAAAAAAGTCAGAGTTACTGTTCATTACGAAATTTTCGCCATATTGTTCACGGGCTCACATAGGAACGACAACACCTGATTACATCCTCCAAAGAAATAGAAACGGCAGTGCCTACATTCTAAAAGAAAAAGAAAATAAAGAAAATAGAAAAGGATGGCTGCGCAAAGCTCTCTGCATTTCCCCTCTCCCGTATACCAAAACCCACCCCGATCCCTAATCTCATTCAATGGTGCCGGGGAACCTCACTCCGGCAGGCGGCGGCGACCTCGACCCCTAATCTCATTCAACGGCGTCGGAGAACCTCGCTCCGGTAGGTGGTGGCGGAGGAGCCTCTTCAGAACCCATAGTCCTTACCCAATGGCGTCGGAGAGCCTCGCTCCGGCAGGTGGCAGCGGAAGAGCCTCTTCAGAACCCACAGTCGTTACCCCTAATTGCATTCAACTGGCGCCGGGAAACCTCGCTCCGGCAGGCGGTGGCGGCGGAGCCTCTTCAAAACCCACAGGCCACAACGCCTCTTCAGAACCCACAGGCGACAACGTTTCGTCACCCGGATTTGTCCCGCTATAACAAATCGAATCACTGGATTTCGGCTAGTAATATATTAAAGACATTATCAACAAGGGTTTTAGAAAGAAAATACTAAACATGCATTTAAAAGGCTTAATGTGACAAGGACAAATTTACAGGCATGTGAGCAACAACAAAATCCAAGTTATGCAAGAGCATACCTGCAGCTTGATTCAGTGCTCGGAAAGCTTGGTGGCAATACCACTCATTTCCACTTATAAGGTTCTTAGTTGATTTGAAAGTGTCATTGTACTTCTTCTTCAAGTGAACTTTAACATCATTACTACAAGAAATTTCAATTTCAATGAGCAAATCATTGATCAGAACATCCATTTTTTTTGTTTGAAAAGACTTCAAGAACTGGTTAGGGATTCTTACATGTTTGGAAAAGGAATCCCAACTATTATCTGAAATTGTCAAGGGCTTACAACAAAGAAAATATTGTAATCATGCAGGGGCAAAAGCAAGAATGAATAGAGCATGCTACCAGGCATGGCAGAAATTACTTGATGACACCTAATACCAACGGAAGAAATAGAACTTGATATGAATAGAAGATCACCGTCAACATTAAGAAAAACATAATTCAATCAACCAAGGATACAACTACTCGAGCATTATCATCAGAAAAATCTATTCCTTCTGAGACCTGCAGAGAAGGCTAAGTTACTTCCTTGAGAAGATGGAAACATTAATATGAATCATTACAAATTTGCACACCTTTCCTCTGCAAACAGCAAGAAAAGCACCCCCATTTTTTTTTTTGTCTGCTTTTTTGTTTCCTTTCTTAGTCCGGTCGGGAACTTTTTCACTCCCAGAAACTGACTTGTAGTAACCCTTGAGAAGAGAGTCAAATTCCTCTTGGTTTCCTCCTCTTGGCTCTGCACAAGCCAAAGCAAACCTTAGCATTTAACACTACAACAAAAGAGAGGGAGGGGTACACGAACCAGAACATGAAAAAAAGGGAGTTGCGAAAAAAAACAAAGGAAAAAAGTAGCTAATGGCTTCAGATTTCAGCGCACAAATAAACTGCAAAGGTCTTACCAACAAAGAGGGACTTCTGTGCGTGTAGTTTCGACCATTGACCTGTTTCTTGCCACCGCTTGCATAGTTTTCCCATCATACTATAACTTGGAAAGAACACAAGAGAGCCGGCGGGAACAACTTTCAAAATTTCCTCCAAGGATTTCCCAAGTGCATCCTTTAAAAGCAAGGATGACATTATCTTGCACTGGATTATGGAAGAGGTGTTATTGTATTATCGTAAATAAATTACACTGAAACAGTTACCTGGAAGGCAAATGTAGATGCTGTCTTATAACTAGCATTCAATGGGTACTTTTCATAACTCGAGGATATGACGGCAGTCCAAACCTACAGTTCAATTATAAAAGCTGAAAAACGCAGAGACAAGAACACAATTATAGATAAAGATGGAAATCAAGTAGCGATGACCAGCTCATCCCATGCACGCCATGCAGAGGATGCCCAAGTTCGCACATTGGCTCGTTCTTGCCACAAGAACATCACAACTTCGATAAAAACGTATCAACAAGTAGTACCTGTGATTTAATATTAACCACGTGTGGGGCTTCTATACAAGTTCCAAAGTTCACTCCAAGCTCAGATGGGAAGGAATTCATAGGAGACAGAGTCCTAAAAGAGCCAGTAACTTTTCATAAGAAACAACTTCATAGTATGAAGAACATAAAGCCTGATGCTTACCCAGATGTTAGAATGACTGACAAGGAAAGATCAGTGATTTCCTTGAACACAACAGCTGGATTCAAGCACCACAAGCTAAAAGTATGTGTCCAGCCAGTAACAACGTTTTCTGATAAAAAAAAGTGAAGTGGAATGTTCAATGGTACAGAAGAGACTTACTAAAAGATGAGTAATGCGTGGAATAAAATAACTAGGTTAAGTAGAAAACTTACTTGTGTCCTTTTTTACAGTTCGCTGGACAGCAAGCTGATAATCAGAAATGTGGGATCCATTTCTTGAGAAAAAATATTTGAGCGCAGAGAAAAGACCTGGTAATAACTCGGAAATCAGTAAATGGTATACTGAAGTTCAATTAATGCCGAATAAGAGGAGACCATGAATATCACCTTCCAATGTTGTCACGGACATGCCACTTAAAAGAGCAAATTCTGCCTCTTTAACAGTTGCATCTTTAATTGTCTGTGCCGGGAGAACATTTTTTTTATGAAGGTGAAAATTTATTAGTATCACAAATACACCAGCGGTGTACACAAGAAACAGAAACAGTACAAAGAAAAGGTCAAAATCAACCCAGGAAAAAAAAAGAAACAGGGTCCCTGCTAGTACTCAGAGAAAGAAACAAGAAGAAAAAAGGTGGAGACATAAGCCCCAGCAAGAAATCATCCCAATGGAAAACACACAGGGAGAACATTGATATATATTATATAGTCAACTGCTGAGAAGCAGCAAGCAAAAACAATCAAACCCAATATTCAGTCTCTGATGAAGAACCTTTTGGGCACAGTCCAACAAGTTTGGAAAGCTCAGTTGAGTGATGTTAGCTTCTTGGAGCTCCCTTAAAGCTTGATCACCTGTCCAACTACAAGAGATTGCAGCATGAAAAGAAACTTCGGAACAAACATAACACAGAAACCTTGATGCATTGTTTACTTTCGAAAGCAAAAATATGCAAAGATTGTAAAATCGTACTGGAGGTTGTACCGGAAAAGTCACCAATAGGTATTTTATGCTGAAACCGTAGTTCAACCATTTCATACCGCTAAAAAGGATCTACCAGTTATACTTCAGTTGGGCCGCCGATACGATATGATTTTAAAAACACTGCATGATTGCTCACCAAGAGTAGAACTGCTGAAATTCACGCATCTCAAGTTTGCTTTTCTTCCGCTCCATCCAACTCAACAGGTCCTAAAGCACAGCTAAGTCATGATTCCAGGAAAGATGGCAAAATTACATAGGAATTAGGAGTAGTTGACCGGAGCAATTAGTTACCTGCGTCATTTTATACAGTGGCTGGTATATCATCGCATCGCCTGAACAAACTTGGCGTAGTTCTGTCTGTAGTTCTTGGATAGCATATGACAGTAATAAGTAACACAGGTGACTGAGAAAACAAAGGGAGAGGAAATCTATAATTAATCACTACTCTGTAGAGCATCTTCATTGAGATCCACGCTAACAGCATCACGAGCAATGTCTTCGATATTGCTGTTGATCAAGGGAACGGTGGGCATAAGACAACTAGAGAGTCATAACCTAAGGGAATGCACAAATCTTGATCATTTTTAGTTTCATATGAATGACTGGGTAAGAGATTGCAACTCATACTGGGCTTCATCTAGGACAAGAATGGCTCCTTGGATGTCAATATCCATCGCACGACGAACGATTGGATTAATTACATAGCTATAGGGGCAGAAAACCAACTGTGCCTCCTCTGCCATTAAGCGAGCAGCATAATACGGGCAACCTGGAACAAGAGTCAAACATTTGAGGTACATTGAATTGAATAGAAAGAGGCATGCATGGTACACAAACTAGAGAAGAAATAACTAGCACTGATCCTTTTTTCCCTTTCTCATAAAGTAATATCATGAATGTTAATGAGAGGGAGGAAATGGTACCTTCAACAACATTTCCAACTTTCACAAGATCTTCAATATCATGGACCTCGTGGCATCCTCCCTTTTGAAGTGATGTATGGTCCATGAGTTTCTGCACATTTCTGATACGTTGAAAAACATTATCAATGGAGTCGAATCAATAGGATAAGGAGACATGGAGCTGGAAGTCAACTTACTTCAAGTATGAGCATCCACCTTCGGGATTCTTCGTGAGCAGTTTACTGTAGATTTAACCAAGTAGTCAAATGAGGAATGAAAGGAAAACAAGGTACAGTAAAGAAAAGGTCTATAGGGCTAAAGCCGGACCATTTTTCATCGATATTCCCAGACCGATTCACAGTTTCGTTTGTGCAGTAACGTTTCCTTGAAGCCTGGAAGATTTCAGTAAGAAGATATTAAGCTTCTGCTGGTGGTTTCCAGTTAAGATGACATCAATGAGGACAACCCGAGCAACTCACCAGTATAGCCATTGGAACCCGGTAGCCAGTTTTCCGATATTCGCGTACCACTTGGGAAATTTGAGAGTGCGTCCTCCTTCATTTTAAAAAGTAACAGAGAAACCCCAACAAGTAAACTCCTCGATTGGTTTCAGTATTTGATGAAATGGCGTCAGAAGCTAAAAAAAACAGCAAAGCAAAAAGACGCACGATGCATAAAAGATAGTAGGCGCCATTTCCATCTGCTCCGCTTTACTGCTCGGCGCCGCTTGAGATGTTGGCTCTGTCACACCCGCAAGCAAATTCTCTAAAAAAACAACATCATTGATTTTCAAAACCCTAGAAGAAGGAAGACGAAGTGTTGCCAAATTTCATTAATGGGAAATCAGCTACAAACGTTCACTTCACTTACTCGAAGGCTGCGTTTCAGGGACGAATCCACCGCCATGACCGATGATCGGGTTCGGGTAGATCATCGCCTCAGGATCCGGTTCAGAGAGAGTGAGATTCGCATACTGATTCTTCAGCTTCTGGGTCTGCTGCCATGCCAGAGTGGAACACAGTAGCGAGAGAGATTTCCCAGTTCCAGTAGGAGATTAGAGCAAAGCGTGGCAGTGTCCTTCCCTCTGAGCTCGCTCCAGCGTCGATATGACCCGACCCATGAACGCTAGCTGCGTTCCGTACGGCTGGTACGGGAATTCCACTGAGATTCCTCCCACATGATAAGCCCTTTTGGAACTGCCGGAGCTAGGGATTTGATTCGCCGACGGCGGGGATCGATGCTGAGCCACCATTTGCCCCTGGAGAGATGGTAACTGTGTGTGAGGGGGTGTGAAACTGAAAATGGGGTTTGTTTGTTTGAACTAGGGATGATTTGGGCGGGAGATTTCGAGTTTTCGTTTTTTTTTTGTTTGTTTGTTTGTTTGTTTGTTTATGGCCGCCCCGGGTCACATCCCGTGATTAAAGGTTGTAATCTTAATGAGTTTTCAAACATGACCGCGGTTAGAGAGGGAAGAGCTAACTACCTAAAATAGCAAATGAGATATTATGAGAAAATAATTAATGTTATAAATAATAAAAAATAATAGTTTAAAAAAGGAAAACCAACTCCTCTCTTCTAAATTTTAGCTACCAAATTCCACTAAAATAGCAATTCGGAGCACTTCTACTATGCTATATAGCATTGGTGCTTTATTGTACAACTCAAAGTTGTACCATAACATTAAATGTATAAGTTTAGGTTGTACCATAAAGCAATTTGTACCATTATGTTATGATACAACTTTACAACTTGAAATTGTACCATTACATAAAGGTACAAGTTCAAGTTGTACCATAAAAGAATTTGTAAAAAAGTATAGGTACAATCTGAAGTTGTACCATAACGTAAATGTACAATTTTAAATTGTACCATAAAGGCAAAAACCTATAGCACCAACACCACCAATACTATATAGCATTGTAAAATTTCTCAGCAACTCGTTATCTAACTCACTCTCCATCCCTGCACAGAAAATCTCACTTTTACCTAGGTTGCATTTTAATCTTGAAACCTTATAAAATTTAGCTAGAATATCTGTTACTGCATTCGACCTTGTACAGAGCCCTTAATGAAAACTAGTAATCGTGCCCGGCCCGTTGGCCGGTATAGTTTTTTTTTCTTTGAAAGGAAGATGGAGTTTTATGAAATATCAATAGAATATATGAAACTAAATTTTGGCTTAGTTGTGTCATAAATTTTGGTCTAGAAAATTTCCCACACATGAAAAACAAACTACTAAATATTGATCTTATAAATATATATAAGTTTGCTTAAATTGGTCTAGAAAAATTGATAAGAACTCGATTGGTGTCCACTTTTACTATATTTGGTGTCTAACTCCTTAACACGACTTTTATTTTTATTAGGCAATCACCATAAGAACTCGAAGTCGCCATCTTCCAATAGAAACTTATCACTAAACATTGTGATAGTTTGAGAGAGCTTTTTCGAGCTTTGTAATGCAAAATTCCTCCTTTCGTCACTCCACTTTTGTTACGAAGGGATCCCTTGGAATAATTCGGTCCAATGAAGTTCCTTATAATCGTTAGTTCATTATGCTTCTTTGCTTCCCTCCAAACCTATTCAGTTTTATCGTTCCTTAATTCGTCATCATCCCCATCATCAATTTCCAAGTTCATTCACCTACCCATACTTTGGACGCACAAATAACTCTGCCACAAGGAATCATGGAGTAGAGAGCAATGGTGTGGAAGATGGAGGGGTACGGGGAGATGCATACTTACGAATTGGGACAGAGAGAAGCCACCGACAACAATTTTTAATTTTCGGCCGGTATTAACTACTAAATAGGTAACGACTCACCACCAGCGATTAATTTCCGAAAGTTGAATAAGTGACTGGGAAAAGAAGCGGTGGCGGAGGGATTTGTTGATTCGGCAGCAGCAAACTTGTACAGAGATTTCGGGGGATTGAAGAAGAAGAAGAAAATATAAGCAGTGGGGAAGGGATTAGTTAATTCGGTGGTGGGGGACTTGTACAGAGATTTCGGGGGATTGAAGAAGAAGATATAAGCAGCGGCGGAGGGATTTGTTGATTCGGCAACGGCGGCGGCGGTCTTGTACAGAGATTTTCGAGGGACTAAAGAAGAAGATACATCGACGGCGGGCGTTGTGGAGAGGATACGCGACAACCTGGTTTGTGGTGTGTAAACTGATCGTAGAGAGCGAGAAGAGGAAGGGTTGAGTAATTTACAGGATTGTCCTCCCGAACAATGCGGGTTGTGCAGGAAGAGCTGATGTGGCAAACTCTTTTTTATGACATTGGCTTATAGTAATTTGTAGATTAAAAGATCATTTGTAAATACCAAATGTGTTAATACAATTTGTCTACACTAAGGGTAGGAGTTTGAAGCCACAATCCGATTTAACGTACATGATAGAATTTCATGATTATAGAAAATATACAGGGAGAGGGGATCCCCTATGTCAAACCACTCTTTCCAAAAAAAAAAAAATCAAATCTCAACCCTCCATTGAAATAGACCCTGAAATTTGCACTCAAAAGACAACTACGAATCCATCCTATGGAGACAGATGGAAACCCCATTGCAACTAGGACTGGAAGTTTGGTACCGGTATTTGGGATATACTGAATACCGTACCGAATTTGACTATATTTGGTATTACCAAATGCATGTATTATTTCTTGAGATTGGGATTGGGATTGAATTTCAATTGTTATTTGGTATTAGGGATTACGGGATTGGGATCGGAATATACCGAAATACCGATCAATACCGAAATATAAGCTAGTTTGTATTTTATCCTCTCAACTAGACTCTCTCATTTACTACTACATGACCCTCAACCACCAAAAGTGTCATTTAATTATACACTAATCATTCCATCACTACTAATAGTCGTCTCTCAACCTCCAATTAGTCAAATTAAAGATTATTGTTTGAGCCTAACTGAGTGTAGGAGTGAGACTCGGGAAAATGGGGTGAGAAGAGCAAGCAACGAGAATCTTCTATCGGTTGGAGAACAAAGGTATGAGAGAATGTGATCGAGAGAGTGATATCTTAGAGAGAGAAGTTGATACTTTGTAGTGATAGAGTCAGAAAATCCGATCCCCTCACCCACCGGAGTAAATGCTCTATTTATAGGACACATTGCGGTGGGTGTACATTTAATGTGACATGACTTCTACGTGTGTCAAACGTTTAGGCCATGCCTTAGGCCATAATTATACGCAGGACTAGGATGTGACCGTTCCTTCGGAGGATACGACGTCGTTCTTCCCGGTTTTCCTTCTCAGTTTGAATTAGGTGAAACGACGCCGGCTTGGATAGGGCAAACGACGTCGTCTGGCGTTTACAAAACAACGCCGGCTTGAGTAGAGCAAAACGACGCCGTCTGGTGCTTCTGGCACTCGCAGACGTGTCTTTACTCGCGGAGACCTCTAGTACTCGCGGAGCGCGCTGGGCAGTCTTACTTGCGCGACTGGGCCCTAGCTATATCCCCAACAATTCGGACGTGTTTTTATTCGCGGAAGCCTTTAGTACTAGCGGAAGGTTCTTTCCGCGAGCGCGCGTAGCGCGCTGGGCAGTCTTGCTTGCGCGACTGGATCCGAGCTATATCCCCAACAATTGCCCCCCATCAGGGGGTATTCTGTGAATGTTGCCTGTTCAATTCTTGCGCGCCGGGCTCGGTTCCTCGTGCTCATCGTCCTCTTTCTTACACTTGGTTGTTCGTACCCAATCTTCTCACTGTCTCCGCCTTCTTTCTTGCGGTTCTACTTTTTTGCGCGCTTCAATTTGGTTTTTCGGATGTATTTTTTCCTCTCCGCAGGTACACCATGCCTCCCAGGCGGTGTGCGTACCCTATGACATCACCACCTAGTCTCTATGCTTTATAGGTGCTGACGTGGCACTCTGTCATTCACTCGTTTGGGCGGTTTTTTGAATTTCGAAATTCTTGACGGTTCCGATCCCCAATGTAACTTTAACCCTTCGGCCACTCTTCTATGGGTTATAAATAATCCTCTTTTTACGAAGATGAGTTATTCTTCTCTCCCACTTCTACTTCGTTTTCTCTGGTTTCTCTCCGCCAACGAGATTCCTCTTCTTCTCCGACGACCTTAAATCTCTAGATTGTTCGTGTTACTTCTCAGAGCACCATGGCCAGCACTGATGTGAACAACGAGATCGAGGTCATACCAGACGAAGAAGGTAATCTTTCTCCTCTTTCTCATATCTCTTCTGATCCTTCACAAGATCTGGACGATTCCGACCACATTCACGGCGGCGGAGCAGATAAAGGAGGCGCTCCGGCGACGCCGTCATATGACGTCGACTCCGGCCGGGATTTTTTGCATGGCTTCTCCGACGTGGGGATGGCGGAGCGTGCAAGTGGTGAGGCGAGCACGCGCGGGCGGGGGGTACTGATAATCCGCCGCGAACGCGCTAGCGGGACTGGCGCGGCTCCTGTTGACGTCCCGGACACATCAGAGACATCGTCGGAGCCACTCTATGTCTCCCGCGTGACCGAGGTGATGAGTCATCTTGGTGTGCATGGGGTAGGGGCCACGTTCACGATCTTGGATTGGGATGAGATGTTCGACGCAGGGCAGGTTCTGAGTGACAATCTGTTGCGCGGACCGGACCACGTGTAGGTGTATGGGCGGCGAGAAGTGACAGAGCTGGTGCGCAGGTTGGGGTTGCCCCCCAATTAGCAGTATGCAGTTCCCACCACGCGGAGTCGGATTGGGAATTGCTTCCCAGGATGGTTCGGCGTATACTCCGAGTATTGGAGGATGGGCTTCAAATTCCCCGTCGACCCGCTGTTGTGCGTACTGTATAGGCATCGAGGTTGCTCAGTCACGCACCTGTCTCCTTTCGTGATCATGCACGTGTCTTGTCTCCGCCTCGTTCGTAAGAGGCTTAATATTCAACCATCTTACGGGCTGTTCTGGAAGATATATAAGATAAAAGGGCCCACGGAGAGGAGCGACTGTCTTTCCATCAGGCGGCGAGACAAGCGGCCTGATGGTTACGTGTATGGGTCCCCCAAGTTGGAGAAGAACTGGTTTGAGAAGTTCTTCGTGAAGCCCGTTCCGGGGGAGTGGGCTAGTGAGTATGTGGAGGAGCCGACTGTTTGGAAGAAAGGGCGCTTACGCGGCTTCGAGTCAGAGTTGGGCAAGTACGATGGGCTCGATGAAGAATACGAGGCTTGCATGCCTCAGAGGATAAACTTGTACTCCAGCGACGTCCGCGCGACGTGCTTGGAGGAGCTCTTTGCTGATTGTTAGTTATATTTCTTTCTTTTTGTATTCTGTCGTATTAACGGTCGTCTTACGACTTATTGGCGCAGGTGTCGACTTCTCGTCATTGGTGAGCATGATGTCGGTTGACGAAATAGTGAAGGTTCCACGGTCTCTGCGTGTCGAGAAGAATAAGAAGGAGAGCGCGTAACCCAGCGGATCGAAGAGGAAGGAGGTGGAGCAACCATTGATTGCGGAGAGGCCTAAGAAGGCGACGCGAGTGACTGAACAATCCGCACAGCCGGCGCAGCAGCTGCCTCTGGTGATTTCTGAACCGGAGGCGCGAGTGAGTAAACCTCCTCGCCCTGAGAAGGTGGCGGCTGCCAGTTCATCCGGGGCAACCGTCCAACAGACACTGTCAGAGATGCCCGGTTTTGGAGGAACCACCGCGATCAATTACTTCCGTGATGTGCGGATCCACACCGCTGCGGCATGCAACAGTTCGGCCGCTCAGACTGCTTTGCGAGCGGTTGGCGGATGCGATGACCAAGGCTGCGATCGTGGTCCGCAAGAAGGTGCGACCGGAAAACCCGGGGATCCGCTGGAACACTCGCGCCATGGTGCGACATGTGCAAATGTGGTTGGGCGAGAAAAGGTCTTTGCAGTCTGATTATGAGCCGGAGGCTGAGGAATAGGAGGTGCGCATAGACGCGGTGGTCGAGGATGGAGAAGCTGAGGCTGCTAACGAAGGGGAAGCTGAGGCGGCGGCGGAAGAGGAGGATGGGTCGGCTACCACTGATAACGTAGTGATAGATTAAGTGTAGCCGTGCTAGGTCGATATCATTTTGAGAACTTGTGTATCATTTTGTCTTACTGCTATGTTATGTCGCGGCAATAGGTGCGCGATTATTGTTCCCGTTTGATGAAAATCCAAAAGTTCCCTTCGCCTTTCATTCTTGTGTGACGCGTAATTCATGATTAACGCTTTGTGTGTTTTGCGCTCGTGGCGCGAATAATTCATGATTATTGCTATTCATGTTCTGTCGAACTTTCGCGTAATTCATGATTAACGCTTTGTGTGTTTTGCGCTCGTGGCGCGGTGGCACGAATAATTCATGATTATTGCTAGTCATGTTCTGTCAAACTTTCGCGTAATTCATGATTAACGCTTTGTGTGTTTTGCGCGCGTGGCGCGGTGGCGCGAATAATTCATGATTATTGCTATTCGTGTTCTGTCGAACTTTGCATTTATTTCCTCGCGCAAAAAGCGCTACTGTGAACAAGATACACATCAACTGGGGCAGCAATATTTCCTGAGGTTCTGCGCATTCCACGTCCTTGGGATTTTCATGCCCCCCAATTCGCTGAGCTTGAATGTGTTGGCGCCAATAACCTCGCGGATCAGGTATAGGCCATCCCATGTTGAGGCGAGTTTCCATGCCCGGGGTCAGGGCGGAAGTTCCACCTAAGTACTTGGTCTCCGAGGATCAGCTTGTGTGGCACTAGCTTTGCATTGTAGTACTTTGCTACTTGTTCCTTTGTGGCGGCTAGCCTGATGACTGCCAATTCCTGTCACTCTTGTGCCAACTCTAGATCCAGTAGCCGCGCTTGGTCATTACTCTCCTCATCATACATCGTGATCCGATAGGTGGGTGCAGCCGTCTCGATGGGGATCACCGCGTCTGTGCCATATGTGAGGGCGAAGGGGGTTTCTCCTATTGCCACTTTGAATGTGGTGCGGTGCGCCCATAGCACTGTGTGAAGTTCGTCTACCCAATTTCCTTTTGCCTCATCAAGGTGGGTGTGTAGGCTGTGTAGAATTTCTTTGTTTGCCGACTCCGCTTGGCCGTTGGCTTGAGGATAGGCCACCGACGCGAATCTTGCGATGGCTCCCACTTGGTCGCAAAAGTCTATCACCTCTGCGCAGTCGAACTGCTTCCCATGGTAGAATACTAGCGCGTTTGGAACACCAAATCGCGCAAGGATGTTATTTTTTAGGAAATGGGTCACCTGTTGCGCAGTTATCGAGGCTAGTGCTTCCACTTCGATCCACTTGGTGAAGTAGTCCACCGCCACGATTATGTACTTTCACTTTCCTTTTGACGTTGGGAAGGGGTCCAAGAGATCCACTCCCCATTGCGCGAAGGGCCACGATGGTAGATGATGCTGGAGCGCGTTCACTTGGCACTTGTGGCATTGGTCCGCGTATTTTTTGTGTCTTTTTTCACTTGCGGCAGTAGTATCCGTTCAGCAAGATAGTTCGTTCCATACTACGCGCCCATGTGTGCATTGCGCACAAGCCTTCATGTAGGTCGCGCGCCTCCTCTTGCCCGATGCATTTTAAGTACACACCGGAGTATGACCGGCGATACAGCTCCCCACCAATGAGCGTGCGGCGGGCTGCTTTCTGCCTTAGGGTCCATGCCTCTTTAGTGTCTTCTGGCACCACACCGTCCTCTAAGTATTTTTTGATTGGGACTCTCTAGTCTTCTTCCTGCACTATTTGCGTGGTGTTGACCATGATGTCCCGGTGGCTTTCTTCTTCCTCTTTTTGAACCGAGACTAGGCGCGTCGATTCGAAGTCGGTGGCGGTTGCTAGCTTGGATAGTGCGTCCGCGTGCATGTTTTCCTCCCTTAGTATTTTCACATAGGTCACCACTTCAAAGGTACTTGCTCGTTGTTTGACACGCTCCATGTACTGTGCGAGCGTGTCCTCTTTTGCGTCGAAGGTCCCGTTCAGTTGTTTGACCTCCAGAGAAGAATCGGATAGCACCCTGATCGTTCTTGCGCCCAGGTCGTTGGCGACCGTCATTCCCGCCAATATGGCCTCATACTCGACTGCGTTGTTTGTTTTCAACACTTTGAATCAGATTGCTATTTCGTGAACGACGCCTGTCGGGGTGCGCACGACGACACTCGCTCTGGCCCCATGTTTGCTTGTCGCGTCGTCCATGTATACCTCCCATACTCCTTCTGGTGTTGTATCGAGAGTGACTCCCTCAACAATGAAATCTACTAGTATCTGCGCATTTATTGCTGGTCTTGGAGCGTATTGGATGTCGTACTCTGAAAACTCGACCGCCCATTTAACCATCCGCCCGGACACTTCTATTGTGTCAATATCTTTTTTAGCGGAAGGTTGATCAGGACGGTGATCGAATGTGCTTGGAAATAGGGGCATAGTTTTTGCGACGCGCTCACCAGTGCCAAGACGGCTTTCTCAATTGGGGAATACCTTGTTTCCGCGCTAACCAGAGTTCGCGACGTGTAATACACGGGCCACTCAGTCTGGTTGTCTCTCCTGGATATTAGCACCCCGCTCACGGCTCTTGTTGACACAGCAAGGTACATTTTTTTTTTCATTAAGCTTGGGGGCGGTCAGTACAGGGGGGATACAAGGTATGATTTGAGTTCTTGGAAGGCAGCTTCACACTCCTTGGACCATGCGAATCGCGTGCCGCTTTTGAGCGTTTTGAAGAAAGGGGCGCACTTGTCGGCTGATCTTGGTATCAATCTTCCCAGGGCCGCTATCTTGCCATTCAAAGATTGTATCTCTACCGTGCTCCTCGGCGCCCGAAGCTGTTGGAAGGCCGTGATCTGCTTCGGGTCGACTTAGATGCCACGCTTGGTGATCATAAATCCCAATAAATTTCCTGCTTCCACTCCAAATACACACTTCAAGGGGTTTAAGCGGAGGCTGTGTTTGCGGAGCACTTCAAAAGTCTCGCCCAAGTCTTCCATATGGGAGTTGCCCATTTTGGTTTTGACGATGAGTTCATCTACGTATGCCTCGATATTTCGCCCTATCTGTTGTGAGAACACCAAGTCAATCATTCTTTGGTAAGTGGCACCAGCGTTCTTTAATCCAAATGGCATCCCGACGAAGCAGAAGTTTTTGAATGACATCATGAAAGCCGTTTTTTCCTCATCTTCGTGGGACATTGGGATTTGGTGGTATCCTGAGAACATGTCTAAGAAAGACAGTGTCTCGTGGTCGGAAGTGGCGTCAATCAATTGGTCAATGCGCGGTAGCGGGTAAGGATCCCCTGGGCACACCTTGTTGATCGTTGTATAGTCGACACACATCCGGCAGGCCCCGAAGGACTTTTTTACCAAGACCACGTTGGCCAACCACTTCGGGTATTTCACTTCTCAGATCAACCCCGCGGTGAGTAGTCGCGCGACCTCTTCTTCGATGGCTTTCAGTTTATCACCCGTGAAGCTTCGCGGCGCTTGCTGCCTTGGTTCCGCGTTTGCGGGAACCGCGAGGCAATGTTGAGATACTTGCCTTTGTACCCCCAGCATGTCCTCAGTGCACCAAGCGAACAACTCCTTGTACTCTTTTAGGAGCGCTATCATTGGCTCAATCACGTCACTGTGGATGTGGGTTGAGATGCGGACCTTCTTCGTTGGTTCGGTGGGGTCGACCACGACTTCAAAATCAGAGTACATGGATTCTAGACGCGGTTGGGGTTGAGATGCATACCTTCTCCCTTTGGCACTCCCCATGGCATCCCGCGCGCTTCTCCAGTTCCCGCCTTGGTAGGGAATTTGAGTTTCTGGTGGCATGTTGATGAGAGGGCCATGAACTTGGCGAGAAATGGTCGACCAAAGATGCCATTGTGGGGCGAGTTGCAGTCGACAATGGTAAACTCGACCTGCTTTGAGACTCGCGGCTCTTGGTCTCCAATTACAACCGGAAGAGTGACCACACCGATCACTGGAACTCTCATTCCTGAGAATCCAACCAAGTTCCCTTGTGCGCGCTTGATTAGACGCGGGTCGATGTCCATTTGGTCGAGGGTGGTTTTGAAGAGGATGTTTGCCGCGCTGCCCCCGTCTATCAGTAGGCGATGAATTTTGCAGGCGGCCACCAGTGCAGTGATGGTGAGTGGGTCTTCTGATGGGATCCCTTGTGGGAATTCCCCGTCGTCAAAACTTAGGTTACATTTTGGCTGCACCTCAGTTGTCGCGCATTCCATCGCACGCTCGAGTTTGGTTTTTTTCTTTGGGCGGTCTTCTTCGGCTATTACCACCCCTATTTCCTTCCGCACTACATACGAGCCGGTGGCCTCGTTGTAATCGGGTTGCGGAGGTGGTGGCGGATTTCTGGGCTGTTCCTTCTGCTCTTCCGCTCCGCAGATGAATCCGGTCAATAGTCCTCTTCGAATTAGGGCTTCAATTTCGTACCGTAGATCCCTACAATCCTCCATCAAGTGACCCGTCTCCCTGTGAAAGTGGCAACGCTTGCTTGGGTCGCGCATATGTGGTAAGGCTCTCACGGGCGCGGGCCTGTTGATTTGTAACCCTTCTCGTGGAGCACATGAAACACATTTTTCACCGAATCGTTGAGTGGTGTGTAAGTGTTCTGTGGGCGCCTGTCTGGTGAACGCCTTCGTTGACCTTGTTCTGGTGGGGTGGGCGGGTGTCTCGACCCGCTATGCAACTATACCAACTGCTCCCGTGACACCGGGAGCTGCTTCCGCCCCTGATCCTCTCTAGGTGGCTTCGAGGGTTCAAAGTGCCTGATAGAACCCGCGCCCAGGGTTTCTTTCAGTGTGATGGCCTTCTCGATTTTGACCTCTAGCTCTGTTGACAACGTGACTGATCTTTTTGCTAATGCCCGCTTGAGCTCCATGTTGGTGGTGGCGTCCATGAAATGATGGGCGACAGTTTTGGGAGTAAGGCCTCGCACAACCATTGGCACCCTGGATCACCTGGCATAGAATGCCCGTAAGCTTTCCCCGTCTTTTTGCCTGATGTCAATCAGGGCCTTGAGGTGGAGAGGTCTTCTTTTTTGGACGCGAATTTAGTTATGAACAAGAGTATGAACTCTTCGAACGAGCGGATGATCCCATTTGGGAGTCTGTTATAACAATCGAGGCATATTTCGGAGAATGTTGATGGGAAGGTTCTGCATAACGCCGCGTTGGAGTTGGTTTGGAGTTGCATCCGGAGGCAAAAGGTGCTTACATGGTCCTCTGGGTCGTTTGTTCCGTTATATGTTAGGAGGGCGGGTGGCATTCCGCTTAGGTGTTCTGCCATGATTTCCGCGCTTAATGGTTGATGGAGGGTTCTTCTGGGGTGGGTGGGGGCTGTACTGCGGGGATAAATGTTGCTCCAAGAAGCTGAGGTCCACCCTGGCCCGCGGCTCCACTTGTTGCACTTCATGCGCGGGTGACTCGAACGGCGCTTGTTGTGATAGTGGGGCAAGCTCTGACGCTGGGACAGACTCTGACGCTTCACCTGCCACCTGTTGTGGCGCGGTTGGCGCCACATGTGCTGTTGACATGGCCTCCTTGCTCATCATGAGCGCTATGACTTTGCTCATCTTTTTTTGCATATCGGCTATGACCTCATTTTGCTTCGCCATTAGTTGCCTCATCTCTTTGGCTGTTAGCTCGGGCTTTTCTTCTTCAATAAGTACTGCGTTAAGGTTGCTGGCTTCCGCGAACACCCTCTGGTTCGTCATTGCCTTGATGGGCGTTGCCTCGTCGGCTGAGTTGGGATTATGTTCCGCCATTAGTTGATTTTCTACTGCTTCTCTACTCGGCCCCATGGTCGGCGCCAATTGTTTGAGCCTAACTAAGTGTAGGAGTGAGACTCGGGAAAATGGGGTGAGAAGAGCAAGCAACGAGAATCTTCTATCGGTTGGAGAACAAAGGTATGAGAGAATGTGATCGAGAGAGTGATATCTTAGAGAGAGAAGTTGATACTTTGTAGTGATAGAGTCAGAAAATTCGATCCCCTCACCCACCGGAGTAAATGCTCTATTTATAGGACACATTGCAGTGGGTGTACATTTAATGTGACATGACTGCTACGTGTGTCAGACGTTTAGGCCATGCCTTAGGCCATAATTATACCTAGGACTAGGATGTGACCGTTCCTTCGGAGGATACGACCTCATTCTTCCCGGTTTTCCTTCTCAGTTCGAATTAAGCAAAACGACGTCGGCTTGTATAGGGAAAATGACGCCGTCTGGCGTTTACAAAACGGCGCTGGCTTGAGTAGAGCAAAACGACGCCGTCTGGCGCTTCTGGCACTCGCGGACGTGTCTTTACTCGCGGAGACCTCTAGTACTCGCGGAAGGTTCTTTCCGCGAGCGCGCTGGGCAGTCTTGCTTGCGCGACTGGGTTTGAGCTATATCCCCAACAATTCGGACGTGTCTTTTTTCGCGGAGGCCTTTAGTACTCGCAGAAGGTTCTTTCCGCGAGCGCGCGTAGCACGCTTGGCAGTCTTGCTTGCGCGACTGGAGCTATATCCCCAACAATTATCAATGACAAGAACTTGAGATGTCTCCTCTCCTCCACTCTCCTTAATAATATCCTAATTCAAAACTCTTTGCTTAGTCTTTTCCCCCCTAAATTAAACAATAAAATCTAATAAATATATTTAATTATTAATTGCAAAGGTAATTAATTTCTTATTCGATAATACTGATTGGAATGCCGAAGTACAGATTGGGATACCGAAATATTTAGGAATTGGGATTGGGATACCGAAATAATTTAGGGATTGAGATTGGGATTGACTTTAGGGTGTAATTCAGTATTCGGGATTTCGGTATTTGGTATTGGGATACCGATACCGTACCGATTTCCACCCCTGATTGCAACCATGACATCAAATAGAAAATAGTGATGGCAATTTCCGATATGATCTAAGCGACCCGACTTGTCCCGACCTATTTGGGACGGGTATTACCCGACCGACATTAGCGTGGGGCGTGTCATGGGTATTATTTCCAACCTGCCTCACCCCGCCTCGTTTTATCATGATTTGCACTAACTATGACCCTTCCAAAAATCTTATTTTTCGTCCTAAAGAAATTTTAAGACTCTATCTTTCAACTGTTTAAACTCAATTATTCATTCTACTATATTTTATCATTCGTTTATGAATTTTTTCTCTAATTGTTCTTGAAAAAGAGTTAAATATCTACGTTGTTTGTTTAAAATTCCATATAAGGATGGGTAGGCCCGTCCAGCCCCTTACCTCCGTGGGTAGCACCTGACATGCGCTTAGTGTGGAGCGGGTATGAGTATTGAGATACCCATCCCGCCCTGCCCCCGTCCCATTGCCATCACTAATAGAAAAGTACATCCAACACTATTAAATGCTTTCATAATGTCCGTCTTCATAGCACACCTAGGGGAGACAAATTTCCTATTATACAATTTGATCATTCTATGTCCAAAGAGAATATTATCACTAATCAAACTACCTTTGATGAAAACATACTGATTAGTGCTAATGATAGAAGGCAACACTTCACTTATTCTAATAGTTAAGATCTTATAAACACATTCATACAACACATTTCATCAAGAGATTGACAAATATTTCCTCATTGAATATGTATTGATCACTTCAACTACAAGTAAAGGGACCGAGCCTCTTTTAACTTAATAGTATCCTCAGGAAGATAATGAATCAACAAAGTCAAAGTAAACGGATAAAGCCTCTTTTAATTTGAGGATCTTCCACTACAAGTAGCATTTATAGAAACCCACAGTTTATTCACAAATGTCATCTAAACTGGTTAAGATCTTCCTCTCAATTGTAATAACCTGTCTAATGATGTTCAGGGACTGCCTTACTTTAACTATATTGTGAAAGAATCTAGTATTTGAATAACCACTACAGACCCATAGTAATCGAGACTTCTGCCTAGAGAATTGCTCTTCTGCTTCTTGTACCTCAATAACGTAGGCCAAACACCATTTTCAACATTAAATGCCTAGGGGTCAGGGTGATCCAGAGCTTCAACTTGAGCTACAACTAGGTCATTGTCAATGATTATTGAAGTTGCTTAACTTCTTTTTTTTATCGACTCAAGTCGCTTCACTTAGCATTAAGTCAAGTCATCATAGGAATTCATACTTTTAATCAAGTTAAATTTGTCAATATTTCAAATATAGAAACTACTTCTCTTTTCTATTTTTTATTTATTTATGAAAGTAACTTATATCCTGCATTTCATTAGTTAGGGTAAATTCCCAAAATATTGTTATTTTTTTTTATTTACCACCAATATGGTGGTTTTAAATTTATTGACACATGATAGACCGTTAGTTACACATGTTTTCACCCATGTTCTTACACCGTTTGAGAGGTGGTTTCTCGTGTTTTAGATCGATTTCACGCTAGGTTGTGCTTGTTTGTGATATTTCAGGTCCTGGCAAGTGAATGAGGGTTTAGGAGCGAGTTCGGGGTCGATTGGGTGAAGATCGGGCGCGAGACAAGTCACAAAGGAGGTCACACGGGCTGCCTTGATGTTCACACGACCGTGTGAAGTAATGGCCTGGCCGTGCGAGTTTTGCCGAGAGCACACACGGGCAGAGCAGAGGATCGACACGGCCGTGCAAGTGGCCGGGTTGGCCGTGCCACATTCTGCGAGAGCAAACACGGGCAAGAGGGGATGTCCACACGGCCGTGCCATTCTGGCCGTGCAAAGAGCCTGGAATTCGAACTAAATGAAACGATGCGTTTTGACTCACACGGGCAACTGGGTGAGCTGCACGGCCGTGCCACCCTGGCCGTACGAGTCGGGATTTTCTCCTTTTAAGCAGAATTTCAGCCACAATTCGGGGGGATTCGGGTTTTTGAGAAAGAGAGCGATTCCTAGAGAGAGAAAGTGACGAGCAAGAGTTCCCAAGTGCCCTAGATTGATCTTCAACACCATTGGAGGCCAGCTTGAGCTTGGAGAAGTGCCGATCAACGTCCAGAAGCAGGAATCCATCCTTCGCAGTATGAATTCCGTGTCTGATTCTGCTTTTGCTTTCTTCTCTATGGAGTAGTTCTCCCATTCATCTGGGTATGGAGAACCCTAGATTTGTGTGTTAGGCTTTGATTGTATGAACCCAAGTACTGATTCTGTGATTGATTATATTCGATTGAGGTTTTAATGATTGAATGACTTGAATCCTGATCAAATTCCTGTTGTTTCTGCTTTAACCTAGAATGAGAATATCTGCCTAGGTTAATAGAGTATCCTTGATTGAAGGTAGGGAGTTGGTGACTTTAGTCGAGGAACCAACTCACTATTCTGTACCGGATTTACTCCGGTAGTGGAGGTTTTGTTCTTAGGGCCTCAATCTGTCTACTCCGGTGGAGGTTAGTCGCCCGCTAGAGATTCAGATTGAGAGGGTCTGAAGACCTTTAGTCGAGACTTCAGGCTGTTTAAGAACCTTCCGCAGTATAATCTTCATAGAAACTGAACTTGGTAATTACAATCCGGCTTAACTGCAGTCTAGGGGGAACCATATCCGGGTGACCTCTCTTAACTTGAATACAACCGTTTACCTGCTTTGCTAGTTTGTTAGTTAGACTTGCATTCCAGTTTCATTGCTAGATAACAAGAATTCACTGAGTAGTCATCAGATCTAGGACCCGGGTTGATAATTAAACCTAAACCCGCTATACTACGCTTTAGGAAGTGGTTACACTTGGCCAATTCCTGGAGTGACAGTAGAGTCGAGTCAACACAGATATTGTGTTTTTGGGGGAAGACATGTGTGTCCGCATGAGACTCAGAAAGAGCCTTCAGAAACGCGAATCCACCACAAGCTCAGTGCGGACCCGCGCGAGTCTCATGCGGACTCGCATTGCCATTTCTCCCTCAACAGACCACAACACAAAACCTCTCCCTCCCAAACCCTACGCAGCGCCGCACCGCGAACCCAGACCCCAACCTCCCGCGTCTACCGTCCAGTCTCACGCGAGGTTGCCGCTCTCCTCTGCGGGACTACTTCTCCAGGTGAGGGAGCAACCCAGTCTCACACGGAAGCGCCTAACCGGGAACCATATCTGGTTGGATGTCTGACTCTGACGAAGAACAGGCGGCAGCCGGAGGAAGAGGCCGTGGAAGAGGCCGGCAGGCACGCCGCCGGTACTGAGGTGAGCGATCTCACCGGTCCGAAGCTCGCCGGCGGCGGCTTTTGTTTGCTTCTGACATTTTTGTTTGCAGTTCCTAGACTTATGGACACTTATTCCACGAGGCGACCACCTACGACAATTAATACAGCTTCGGTCGATTCAGTACTTCTTTGGGCACATGGTCAACATCGTGCCGATTCAGTTAGGCAAAACGAGGTGAGTATTTCATTAAAGTTCATTAGCTAGTTAGATTAGATTTTTACTAGGTGAACTGAAATATTAGAATTACATGTGATATTTTTTGAAATTAGTATTAGTTTTGATTAGATATATTTTACTAGATTAGATAGATTTTACTAGGTGAATTGAAAATATAATTACGCATGAAATTGAATTAATATAAGTTTTGTGCACTATAGGATGGTGATCGCGTTTACCATATTCGAGGTACGACCAATTTGGTCATGTACCATCCACGTTATGAGCCGTATCTCCAGGATGCCCGTTTGGTTAGCGTTCAGCAGTTGGTCCCTGTGAATGCTGCTATTGATGCATCTTTGATCACTGCTCTCGTAGAGCATTGGCTCCCTGAGACATCGACCTTCCACATGCCGCTTGGTGAGGTTACGATCACTCTGGAGGATGTTGCCACACTGAGCGGTCTATCGATCGACGGTGAGGCCATCATAGTAGACGTACCAGATCAGGAGTGGTCGGCGACGTGTATCAGACTGTTAGGACATGCTCCTACCGATCTTTCCGGCGGTGTCGTTAGGATTAGTTGGCTTAGGGAGCATGTCAACAATCTGCAGCCAAATGCATCATCAGATATTATAGGGCAGTTTGCACGAGCTTATGCCCTATCTCTGTTGGGGGGTATATTGTTCCCCGATTGGACTGGATCTACAGTTCATCTATAGTATCTACTCCTGTTGGAGAATTGGCAGAGCGCCGGAGGCTACGGTTGGGGAGCAGCTGTTTTAGCCTACCTGTACCGTGAGATGGGTAGGTCAGTTCTATAGATGATGCAGGCCTCTTCCACATGAGGTGACCTTGGTGGTTGGGTTGCCTTACTACAACTCTGGGCGTGGGAGCGATTTCCATTGATAGCACCACGACATATAGTGACAGATGAGACTATTACAGAGGAAGCATACCCACGTGGTGCTCGATGGCTTTCGACCACGTCCTGTCAGCATGGTGACCAGTTGTTTAGTTATAAGTTGTATTTTGACGAGCTGTCGACAATCCTGGTTAGTATATAACATTTCATACAAGAATAGTTCATAGTTCTCATTAGTTTGTTTTAGATTAATGAATAATAAAGTGACCACTTGTTGTGTGTAGTGGCTGCCTTACTGAGAGAGAGGCGAGCAGTTCAGGGGTTCTGTGATCCATTCAGATACCTTTCGAGCAGTAGTTCCACTTAACTGCTTTTCAGTAGTGATGTGGCACCATCCAAAATTGCGTACTCCGACAGTTTGGCATGATGCAGAATGAGCCTCATCATCCAGCTCTTGAGGCTGAGATTAGGTATTTCCTTTGCTAGACAATTCGAGGGCCATCGCGAGGGCATCAGTTGATACACGCCTCCAGAGAGTCGATTGATTTGTGGAGTCGTCGACATTAGTATATAGCGACTATGCCATATATTCCAGATACTCTAGCCTACCACTCAGAGCATCTCGAGTGGTATCAAGATGTTACTAGACTTGCAGCCATAACACACTCGATCGTTCAAACAATAACAAACATCAAACAATAACACATTCGTTCGTTCAAACCATAACAACATCAACCAAACTACCTACCACGTCTATTACCACAACTTCCTCTTCTACCACCTCTGGCACGTCTACCACTTCCTCTTCGCTGGCACCCACTGCCACTTGCTCATCCACCAGAAGTTGATGCATCATGTCCAGCTACTTCCTCTCTTGGCCAATCCATCTCGTCGTGAATTCTTGTTGTTCGTGGCCTCCCCGGCTTCCTAATCATGTGCACGTTAGGATGGAGAGTAGAGCCATTGTGCTTCTTCCACCCCTTAGGTTCACCAAGAGGTGTGAAACTTGTCCCATAACAAGCCAATACTGTTTCCAGCTGACTCACTCCTACTGTCACTCTAGAAATTGGCCAAGTGTAACCACTTCCTAAAGCGTAGTATAGCGGGTTTGGGTTTTAATGTCAATCCGGGTCCTAGATTTGATGACTACTCGGTGAATTCTTGTTATCTAGCAGTGAAACTTTAGTGCAAGTCCAAATTAACAAACAAACAAAGCAAGTTAAACGGTTGTTTTCAAGTCGAGAGAGGTCACCCGGATATGGTTCCCCCTAGACTGCAGTTAAGCCGGATTGCAATTACCAAGTTCAGTTTCCATGAAAGTCATACTGTGGAAGGTTCTTAAACAGTCTGAAGTCTCGACTAAAGGTCTCCATACCCTCTCAATCTGAGTCTCCATCGGGCGACTAACCTCCACCGGAGTAAACAGATTGAGGCCCTAACGAACCAAACCTCCACTACCGAATTGAATTCGGTACAGAATAGCGAATTGGCTCCTCGACTAAAGTCACCAATTCGCCACCTTCAATTAAGGGTGCTCTATCAACCTAGGCAGATATTCTCATTCTAGGTTAAAGCAGAAACAACAGGAATTTGATCAGGATTCAAGTCATTCAATCATTCAAGCCTCAATCGAATATAATCAACTCATGAAATCTGTACTTGGGTTCATACAATCAAACCTAACATACAAATCTAGGGTTCTCCATACCTAGATGAATGGGAAAACTACTCCATGGAGAGAGAAGCAAAAGCAGATTCAGATGCGGAAATCATACTGTGAAGGGAGTTTCTGCTCCTGGTTGTCAATCGACACTTCTCCAAGCTCAAGCCGGGCTCCAATGGTGATGAAGATCAAGCTATGGCACTTGGGAACTCTGGTTCGTTGCTTTCTCTCTCTAGGAATCGCTCTGTCTCTCTAAAACTCGGAACCCTTGATTTTTGGCCTTCTTTTCCTTTAAAAGGCTAACTGTCGCGATACCCGGTCGGGTATTTTGGGTCTCGACCGGGTATAATTGAAACGCGCGTTTAAGAGAAGAGAAAAATCCCCGGTCTTCTCTAAGAATCCCCGACCGGGGATTTATGCTTCACGACCGGGACTCCTTCTGTTTCTCAGACGCCAAAAACGATAAATACCCGGTCTGGTATTTGAGCCCATGACCGGGTATTTTCCTCCTGCAGCACACTTCGACCCAACTTCGCTCCTTTCGACCCAAAACTCGTTTCCTCGCCTCGATTCCAACGCCGGGCCCTGAAATATGACATAGACGCACAACCTCGCGTGAAATTGGCTTAAAACACGAGAATCAACCTCTCAAACGGCTCAAGAATAGGGGTAAAAACAGGTGTAATTATTGGTCTATTACCAGCTTATAGATGTCGTTTACAAACCTATACGGGTTAGCCCCCATTCGGTTGCAAGCTGCAATGGCATGAGAGCAAGGAATTTTATTTCCTTGGAATTTCCCACAAGTGCAAAATCCCGCTTGATTGTGGTCATCGAAATGCAAAGTGAGTGTGTTCGAACCCATCATGTTGAAATTGTTGGGAGGATTCTGAACTACATAGATGCCCTGACGTCGATTAACCCTTGTCACGAAATGTTCAACTGCCTTTTGTGCCCACAGCTTCATCAGATCTTCACATGGTTTCGTGTACTGTAAGTTCCCACTTCTGTGATTTGTACTTCTGTCTCCAACCTCATCTTATCGAATTTCTCCAATAATCGCCAATAAGTATGTTGCACAAGAGAAGCTATAGGAAGTGAACGAATACCTTTGAAAACACCATTGATGCTCTCTGCCATGTTGGTCGTCAGCATAGACCATCGACACCCACCATTATAGTTATCATGTGCTAAGCTCCAACGAAGTTGATTTTGATCCACCCAGTTATCACAAGAAATATTTCTTTCAGCGACCATCTTCTTAAATCGCTCAACTTGACGATCAAACTTCTCCAAGCGTTTTTCTTGGGCTAACAAAATAAATAACCACACGAGTTAGATAAATTCATGATAATATTAAATTAAAATAAATAATACGTCGAAAATCAATAACAATAACGACGAAGAGACTTACCGACTCAAAACAGTTGGTTATACATAATTTTGCTTTTTGTCTTCTTTTGCAAGTTGCTTTCATTGTGTCGCATGCACCATCTCCACTCCCAACTTCTTTCAATGTTACTCATGGCTTCATAGAGTCCAACATGTCTATCTGAGATGATGCATACATCGTTCTGATCGGTCAAATCTTAAACGTGTCTTATGAACCATGGCCAACTATCAGTATTCTCGCTCTCCCCTATGGCAAATGCAATTGAAAAAATCTTCTTCCGACCATCAAATGAGCTCGCCATGAGTAGCACTCCTTCATACTTTCCAGTAAGAAATATTCCATCAACAACCATGACTCATGGACAATTCTTGAATCCATCTATACAAGGTCCATAAGCCCAGAATACTTGTTCAAAGATCAAATGACCTGGTTGCGATGGAGGAACTTTTACCCAAGCAATCACTGATGTTGGCATTTTTCTCTTGAGAACCCCCAAGAATGTTTGCACATAATAGTAAGATTCTTCCCAATTTCCATGCAATTTCTCCAATGCTCTTTGTTTCCCATACCAAGCCTTCTTATAAGTAACTTGCATATTAAATTTATCTTTCAACTCGGCTTGCACAATTAGAACACTCAGATTTGGTTGGGTACGTACCAAATGTTTCACAGACTTAGATATAGTCGACATCAAGATGGCGATGATCTGTCGGTTGAGTCGTACTGCTACAAGAATGCATCAACTCGGCCTTTCTCACAGTCGATTCGCTTCCAACGTCTCAACATCCAAACCTCACCATGCAAGGACAATTGTCATCCTTATGTTTCAAGCATCTAACTTTCTAGATTGAAGGTGACGACTCCACCACGCCATACTGAAAGTTGCGTTGTAGGCGTGATGTTTAACCGCCACCTGTGCAGCTTGTTTCGAGTGAAATATCTGGCCCTTGTAGAATTCTTCTTCAAAACCAGTAACAATAGCCATTGGGATTACGCCATATGAATCAACATATGATAATTCATCGTCCTCTTCATTAACCTGCAAGTAAAAATATGGAGGATAATTATGTTGCTCTTCTTCCCCATCTTCCCCCTCCTCCTCGTCTTCGTCGTCATAATCATGATCAGATGGCACACTCCATGTCTCATCTTCACCCTGATCAGCTTGTCTAATCTCAGCATGCATCTTAGCACCCAAACAATAAGAATTTTGTGCCATAAAATCGAAAAGCACATTCAAGCCATCATCATCCACAATAGGCATCACATAATGAAATAGAACACTATTCTGCCATTCTGGAAGACGGTAAGTGAAACCTGTGATCATATCACTATCTTGTACTGGTTCGTCTCTACGCCATATTCTCGGGATTATATTCCGACAAAATGATGATATGTCACCCGACATGGAACTGTCAACTGAAACTTTCTACCACCAACAAAATGGAAGCCCAAATTGTCCTCTACTTTCTCCGATTTCCACCAAACAATTAGTTCAAATCTCCTAAAATCACTACATAACAAACAAATTCACTAATTACTAACTAAAGAAAATTATAATAGCATTTTAATAATATAACTACAAAAATAAATGTGTCTCTTACCTAGCCATCTTTGCAACAACCAGCAGAGCTCCTCCCTCTCGTTTTCGTATCAGTTTTTGGTGTGGTGAGTATACTGAAAGGAAGAGAATGTAGGATGATATATATGCTGGAGTGGGGTAAAAAAGGCTACGAATCCGCATGAGACTAATGCAGGTCCGTTGGTCAAAGTTAAAGGAATCTGTCAGCGCACTTTAAAAGAGAGACAGCGGCACCGCGCCAGTCCCACGCGGGCCCCCTATTTTTACGTTAAAAGACATATGTAGCGGGTCCGCATCAGTCTGATGTGAATTCGCTCTCCTTCCCCCACAAAAACACAATATTTGTGTCAATTAATTTAAAACCACCATATTGGTGGTAAATAAAAAAATTAACAATATTTTGGGAATTTACCTCATTAGTTAGTGCACGAAATAACATTTCAGATGAAATAACATTTAAAGTTATAATTTATGGTGACTTCTACAGTGCCCATGGAAAAATTCGGGGTACGGGTACCTTGGCCGATCTTAACCATTCATTCTCAATCTCCATGACTCGCATTTGTTGAACTTAACTGCCCCACTTAATAACTAAACAAATTACAAAAAAACCTCCTTACGGGTTAAGATTGTTTTCATTCTAGTGCAACTAACTGCCTCCGATTAAATTAAATGGATTAAGACTGCAAACCCAATTGGGTAGACCCACTGCCGCCCTAACCAATTTAGTCTCCCTAACCAATTACACGATCCCTCACTCGTCTTGGATGAGACGCCCCTTCACAGTAAGAAGATTTGAACCCCAAATCTATGTATCCACATTCGAAGAGAAGATCCCCATTCAATATGAAATCCCCACATAATCATCGTTTTGAACCACAAATCCTTGTATCCACAATCGACGTTTTGCTCTTCGCCATGTTATTTCCGGCCAGAATTTACTCACCTATCTCTTTCTAACACGATTACGGCGACCATGTCTATTATTGTGTTCATCAAACTTTTCATTTTGCTAACCCTAGGGTTCATGTTGTTAGTGCTTTGCCATCTTGTCTTAGCAGTTAGCATTATTGGAACTGCTTAGAACAAAACTGAAGATGAAATAAGCAACACATTCTTCGACCTAATTGAGGAAGAAGATGAAGAAGAAATTTTTTGATTCGAATCGGATGGAGAGGTCGCCTTAACTTGTGTTTATGTATTAACGGTGCGTTTAGGACTAATTCTAGTTGGACTGGGATCCGTATTATTTCTGGGTCTAATCATTGATTTTTGCAAGCTTTTAAATAACATTCACAAGTGGGCTTGTACATGATCCGTGGAATATTCAAAAGTGGGCCTGGAACGTGCGAGCCATTTCATTTCTCATGCCGTATCATCTGTTTGTTCGCCCTCGAAGAAGTTACGAACCCTACGAGGCTACTATCATTGATTCATGCGCCAACCCTAGTTTAACTATCATGACTTACCGTAGTTTAACCTACACGAGTTACCATCATAATTACATATCTTATGTAATCTTCTTGACTCTTGACAATCCACTTACCTCCACGGTCCATAGTCCACCGTCTCCATCACCCTCACGTCTCCTCCGCCCATGATCACTTTTTCTTTCCCCACTTATCTCTCCATCGTACACCTAGTTTATCTCTCTCTTCAGTCTTCACCTTCCCCCACTTAATTCTTCCCTACAATCTGAAATCTAGTAATGGCAAAGAACAGTCGATCATTTGCGGAGATGGGGATACTTTCTTTATCCAACGACGACTGCCGATCCACCTCTATTCTTGGTGACTATCTCTCATTTTCAAGCAAAACCACCATTTTCGCCAAGTACGAGTTCATCCACCTCATTCCTTTCCCTCCCGAAGTGAAGACATTAATAAAAAAATCTAGGTTGGGAAAATTTCTTCCTTCTCCGGAGTCGAGGAAACACAAGTTACTGCCCACATGTCATGAGGAAGTTCTACCACAATCTTGAGCTTTCTGGTCCCTCAGACTCTCATCTGGTGTCGATCTTCCTCAGACATAGAGTCTTCTTTCAGTCTCATCAATTTGCTGAGATCCTTGATCTTCCCGCAGGAGGATACCCCATTACGAGCAGAAGCGATCTTGCGCGGCTTCACTATTTTGAGTTTGAAGTTGAACTGTCGAAACTCACGACGGGCCGCATCGATGCTTCTTTCCTCCCAGATCCTCTTTGATTTCTGCACTGGTTGATCGTCAACTGCTTCCTTCTAAGGTACCATGGTCATTCGATTATTCGTAAACTTGACTTGGTTATCATTGTGCAAGCTCAGAGAGGTGTTCCTGTTAACCTCGCATCTCTAATGTGCCTGAACATGGTCGAAGCTGCTCCCAAAGGGGAAAACTGGTATACTGCCTTTCCCTATGCCACATTTGTCACCACCTTTCTTGAAAGGGTTGGGATGGATATGAGCATTTATGTTAGGGAGGACCGTTCTGCTTATTTGCCGGTGTACCGCATAACCGAATTGACTAATAGTTTTCTTGAGAATCCGCATACGGAGCAGCAGCAGACCCCTAAGGCCTCCTCAAGAAAACGTCCTCGGCTTGCATGAGAGTCGATTGATGCAAGGCCGGGTGGAGCGTTGGAGCAGCAAAGGGGCCAACAATGGATGTCTTTTGTTATCAAGTTTATTAAGTCTTTGTTGGTTTTTTGTCAATCATTTGTCTTTTCCTTTATTCTCCATCACTCAAAACTGTCAGGTATTGAGGGGAGCAGTACATATCTAACTCGAAAAGTCTCCTATTTTAATTTGTGTAATGTCTAGACCTGGAATTTTCAATGCACGCAGTATTTTCTGAATTTGTCATGGCTAGGATGCATAAGACAGGTGACGAGATGCAGTAATGCATAGGGGGAGATTTTAATCCACTTTGGTTCTAAGCAGTTCCAATTAGGTCGAAGAATGTGTTGCTTATTTCATCTTCAATTTTTCATGGTTTTCGAAAATTATGGTTTTTATTTATATTTGGTCACAAGTATAGTGATGATAGGCTTGAATAGTATGGATTTTAAATGGCTTGATTATAATGAATTTTGATCTATGGAGATATTTTTCCCCCCTTTTTCATCAAGACTATCATGCTTCTTTTATTCCCCCGTTGAATCTATCATGCTTTGTTTACAGTAAATATAACCTTTTAATTATACACAATAAAGAATTCATTAATTATGTAAGCCTTTTTATTGTATTTATTAATACAATGGTTGAATTCTCTCACTAAAAGGGGAGTTAATACATCGTTGGTGGAATTTGAATGAATGGGAAGCCTTTCCATATCCTAGTAACATTAAATTAATTACCTAAGAATTTTCCATCTGCCTTCTACGAGTTTTCGTCATTAAAATATAATGATTGGGAGCCAATCAATTTTACTTTTTGGGTTAACCAAACATCAAATTTAATTAGACGAGGGCAATTGGGAACGAAGTGGAACCGAGTAAGAGGAAGAGACATTGGTTTTGAATTTTGTTAGTTTGTATAAAACATTATTAAATGAGTTTCTGGTTGTTATATAGAGAATATAAAGTTTTCTACATTAAATTATTCTGATTATTGGGTTTTTGTTATTAATCCATGCTGATTGGGAGCCATTAGTTTTACTTTTTGGGTTAAACAGACATCAATGCATTGTTAATTGGAGAAAACAAAAGTCCCCAAAACACACTTGCCTACTTGGCATAGGGGTTTAAAAGCAAACTCCTCCTTTACGGAAAAAATCATAGTTTCCACGAAAAAACAAATATAGAAAGCATTCAATAAACAAAAAATGGTTGTCCATCAAAACAGATATAGAAAGCATTCACCAAACCAAAAAAGGTTGTCCATCAAAACAAATATAGAAGTCATTCACCAAACCGAAAATGGTTGTCCATCATCTTAAATAAAAAAAATAATAAAATGGTTGTCCATCATCTTGAAAAACAAAGCAAAATCAGGTTGTCCTTGGTCTCTTTGACTGGGTTTCCTTGTGCTCTTCTCTTTCATTTTTCCTCCTTTCATGGGCTTTCTTGTACTCTTGGACTGCAGCTTCAAGTTGAGGTGCAACTGTTCTTGCTTCCGTGAGCACTGTATGCCTTATGTAGTTCATGGGCTCTCCAACAAGGTACAACACGATCTGCATCCTCCTCACTTGAGTGCATGGCTATCAACATCAACAACCATGGTGCTTAACGCATGATTCAAAATTAACAAACAAGTGTGGTTTTCAAATATAGGCGTGCTAGAATTGTCTTTACCCAAATATAAGAGGAGTCCCAGCTTGCTCCATACATCCACATGCAAACCCAGACTCTACTGTCAGACCTACATAAAATGAAAGCATTGCATGATAAACAAGTTGATAAGCCGTTGTTTAATATCACACAAAATGGACATACTTACTGATGTAGTTGTTCTTGATCCTCTGAAGGATTTGTTTACGAAAACTCCGCAATCCTTGGTGGCAACAGACCCGGATAAAGTTCACGATAGAGAGTCTTCCACAAGGCTTGCATAAATCCCATCTGTACAAATTAAGAAACATATGTATTGAGAAAGAGGTATTTACATTTTTTTACGTTATAACGGCTCAATGTCACACATTTACCATTGTCTGAACTGCTTGTAGTCGAAAAGAATTGCGGTCTTCTGTTGGTTGTGGATCCAAGATATGGACTTCTTCCTTATCCAACTTAATGAAAGCCAAGTACCAGTGGGCATTATCCCTCATCGGAACACACACACCTACATATGCGGAAATTGTCAACACGTATTAAAAAAATAAATTGCAAACCATGTAATACTTATTAAAAATCCAGAGGAGGCCCGTACAGAGTAGAGCAACACGAACAGTTTACCTTGTTTGCCATATTGGCTCGACTAAGGAATTTGGATTCGTATAGGTCTAATGCCCTCTTGGGTGTTATTCCACATGAAATCACTAGTTCCTGCCCATGTGGTAGTTGCACAATTGAAATTTTGTCAACATAATATCATTCATGTAAAAAAATATGTTTTTTATTTGTTTGCTAACATGAAATTACTCTTAAGCAAAATCGGCCCACATGCCTGTAGTTCAGCAGGCTATCACACACTCTTTTTCAGTCCTTAGAATTTTCCCACAACTCTTCTAGAGTCAAGTGACATGCCACCGCTGTTATAACCTAATATAACATGGACAAAAACATTTCATGACACTATAGATTTTTTACACAATATTTCTACGTATAAAGCATGGATAGTGGACAAACAAAACAAAATTCGGGAGTTCCGTAGATTACCTCAGCATCTACGGATCAGCGAGGGCTTAAGGACCACAATGACTTCCTGGTACAAGAGATGTTTGAAGTTTTGACCAATACTTCGTTGGGTGGCAGATTGGCTAAAAATATATAGTGAGCAAGCTGGATTTGCTCATCATCGTATTCCATACTAGTAGGTAGCTTAAACTTCAAAATGACCTGGAATAAGGACCATAAATAAACACGAGTCCAAATGCATTCGATATGTCTGACGAAAGCACAACAAAGAACAAACCCAACACTGAAATGAAAAATAGGTCACCTTTATTACCTTGTCAACAGAACTTAGGGAAATGCTTTTTCATTAGGCTTCTTTGGTGTTACCTCAGAGTCAGATTCATCGTCCGAAATAAAATGATGATTGAAGCAGGAGTGGATAGTGCGCACACCTTTGGGTAGCCTTGGTTTCTTTGTTGGAGTCACAAATTCGTCGGTCTCCTTCAAGAACAGTGAAGCTACGATTAATAAATTAACTAGAATGAATTTGAATGGCTAAAGCGCTATTAGACATACCACAAGCTTGGACGAAGAGCGAGTAATCCTCCTATTTTCCATGTTGTGGCTCTAAACTTCTAATCTGTACTCAAAATTGCGGCCAATAAGGATATGGAACCACTGCTCTTCCGCAGAAGATTAATTATATATACTAGGTTATTAGCAATTGTGGCGGCATATTTTCCCGCGGAAAAATAGTTAGGGTTTAGTCAAAGGTACATGAACTTGGGATAAACATGGGTAGTTATTAATTCCCAAAATAAAAATATATTTTATTTTTCGGTTGGATAAAAAAATGTGTGCTAGTAGTAAATATTCCCTCTTATTAATATTTGATCCTTCTCCATACACGCAGTACACTTATAGAGTCAGTTGGCGTTTGGCTTTACTAAGCATTCCTTTTCATTTTAAATACTTTCTCCAGATTCTGAAAATGGTAAAGAAATCACTAAGATAAAGAATAGAAAGTTTAAATCGTTCCTAAAAAAAAAGATATCACAAATCGTGTTAAAATTCGGTTTAATGGGGATAATTGTTAAGTGGAGATATTAACCACGACTTCGGCTATTCTTTATGGGCCCATCTTTTGTGGCCCGTTCAAGCATTAATTAGGGAAACGTAACAAGTCCAGTAGAATTAGAAGAAAATGATTCGGTCATCATTCCCAATAGGGTTTGTAATCTACAGCGTTTGTTCACCAAAATAAGTCGCAGTGACAATGGCGTCGGAGGCAGTCTCACCATTGACGTCGGAAACAATCCTACTATTGACGTCGAAGCCAGTCCAAGAAAATGATGGGGTCGGAGCCAGTAACACCACCCAGGAAGATAATGTCGATGATCTCATATTTCTACAGCCTGGAGATATTAAAAAAATGAAGTTCGATGATACAGAAGAAGCCTATGATTTCTACATGGACTACGGGTTGGTCAATGACTTTGACATCAGAAAATCAGACATTGGTCGTGATAAGAACTAGGTGATGATATGGCGTGACTATGTATGCTCTGGTGAGGGAAAGAGGCGCATGAAAAGCACAGAACAAAAGAGAGAAGCAAGAGGGGAGATGACTCGCTATGACACAACTCCTAACAATGGCCAAGTGTAACCAATGAAAGGGACTGCGGTATAGTGGCTCAAGTAATAAATATCGAATCCATGGGTCTCTAGAGTTACTATTACTCAGCTTCAATTCATTATCTAGCAAACCAGATTAAGATGGAACAACTAAAACTACTCTAACAAACTACAGTTAAAGTTAATCTAATTACAGGTTGGGAACTCACTTAGGTATGTTTCCCCTAGCCACTAGCCAGATTAATGATTGATGATTTCTAAGTTGTTTCACTTTCATTCACAATGCGGAGAATCCTTGACTAGACCTTGAATCTCGACTAAATTAAAGGATCAAGGCCCTCTTGAGTCGATTGCCTAGAGGGACGTATCCTTCTCTAGAACAACCGATCAAGGCGTTCTGAGCTAGACTTCCTCTATCGAATGAGGTTCTCAATCGATACAAAGCAATGAATCAACCCTCCACTAAAGCAATCGATCCAATACTATCAATCTATGGTGCTCTATTGACCTAATCAGGTATTCGCTCTCATAGGATCAAAGTAGAATCAATAATCTCGACTAAAGCAGAATTGAATCATGAAAACATGCATAGATTGATTATGAACTCAAGATTATCAAGTAGGAGTACTCATACAATCATCCAATCAAACAAACATAGCTAGGGTTCCTCAAAACCTAAGTGAAGGGAAGTTACTCCATAGAGAAGAGAGAGACTGCAGTAAGAATCTTCAGATGATCAATCTTCAAGTCTGGGCTTGTTCCTCGAACTTCCAAGGTGAAGAAATCCTCCAATTCCACTCTTAGAATGCCCTCAAATCGCCCTCTCTCTCTTTGGTTCGTCCCTTGGGTGTTTGGGATCCAAAATCCAGCTCTCTCTTGCAAAAACGCACAAAACAGGCTTTTAACAGCCTGCGTTCGCGATCCCCGGTCAGAAAACCCGGTCGGGTATCAACAAAATGCTCTGGATCACTCTTCTGGGCAAAAGGGAAAATACCCAGTCGGGTATTTTTGGTTCACGACCGGGGGGCCTTCTGATGCTGCCAAAAATACCATATCAGATGGTCAAAATACCCGGTAGGGTATTATGGTCGGGTATTTTGCAGTTCCGGGTCCCCTATCTTTGATTCTTCGTTTCTCCCTCGTTCGGACTCCAAATCAGGTGCCGTTTGATCCCAGACGCTTGTAGTCTTGTCCTCTTTCTTCTCATGAAAAGAATACATGATTATATGGTCACAAAATGAGGTAGAAATCCATTCTTCTTCAAGTCTTACCCGAGTTTCTTCCCCCGAGTCGCCAATTGATCTCCGATTGACTTGGAACTTGCGCCTACGCTTCACTTTATGTGCTAGGGCATGAAATGTGACAAAGGAACACAACCTAGCATAAAATAGGCCAAAGAAGCGATAATGCAAGCTTAAACGATCAAGAAACAAAGGGGAAAACATGTGCAAATATCAAGTCATAAGGAGACCAGATTTAACTGCAGAGCCAAGATGCGTGTTAAACACGACAAGGTCGATGGGAAGTTGTATGTGCACCAGTTTGATAATGTACACACTCATGAAACGATCCCTAGAGGATATAGGAACTACATGAAAGGGAAACATCGTATGAGTGATGCAGTCAAAGCAGCGTAAATTTTAAAAGAGATGCAGGCATGAAAACTTCTCAGATTGTGAATCTGGTCGTATCAGAAGCAGGAGGCTACGACAATTTGGGCTACACGAGGAAGGATGCATATAATTATGTGGACAAAGAGAGGAAAGAACAAATCAGTGAAGGTGATGCCGCAACAGCCCTAGCCTATCTACAAGCTAAATGCAGCGTGGACGAGCATTTCGTTATTGAACTAAAGAAGGATGACGACGACCGGTTGATTAACATCTTGTGGGCCAATAGTGTTTTTTCGCTGATTATGCATGCTTTAGAGAATTGTTGGCATTCGATGCTACTTACAAAAGGAACATTTACCAGATGCCTCTCGTGATTTTTTCAGGTACTTGTCCTTCACACATACAATTATCCTCAACATGCTAAAATAACCCTAGTAGTTTGCATACTCGAACTTATTTTGTACTTTTTTAGGTGTCAACCACCATTCGCAAACTTGCGTATTTACATGTGCTTTTTTGGCTAACGAGAGAGAGGAAAATTATATTTGGGTGTTGGGAGCTTTGAAGAGAAGGCTAGGCGGTGTAGATCCCAAGAATGTTATTACAGATGGGGATAAAGCAATGTGTAATGCAGTTCATAAAGTATTTCCCAATGCAACACATCGTCTATGTTCCTGGCATATAGACAAGACTATAACCAGAAATGTGAAGAATTATCCTACTTTTTTGCCCCGCTGGAAGCATTTTGTGTTAGCTAATTGGCATATAGACAAGACTATAACCTTTAGAATTCGAAGATAAGTGGAAATTAGTAGTGGAGGAATGCTTCCTTCAGCACAACAATTGGGTCTCCAATTTATTTGCACAAAGACATGAATGGGGATTTGCATACTTGCGTTTGAAGTTCTTCGCAGGCTTGAGTACAACATCAAGATGTGAAGGATTGAACTCTGAACTTGCCAATTATATTAAAAAAGGATAAAAATATCCTTAGAGTTTTTTATTCACTTTGATCGTTGGACTAGGGATATGAGGGAGAATGAGCGGCATGCTGATTTTGAATCCATTCATCGAGAACGAACCATCACAAGCAATGTCTTAGTCTCACTTCAAAAGAGTGGAGCTGCGGTTTTCACAAAGAACGCATTCTTCTTATTCAGAGACGAGGTTGAAAAGTTGGCATATTGTGTAAGGGTGGAGTAAGTGAGTGTGTGTACAAGGTCAAGGTGTCTGGCACGGCTAAGGTTTTTCAAGTTACGTACACAGTTCAACCCTTTGCAATGGAGTGTAGTTGTAATCACTACGATTATATGGGAATACCATACTGTCATATGATATTTGTACGGAAAGAAGAGAGCATACTCGAACTTCATGTAGGCCTAGTACGTCGAAGATGGTAAAAGAAGCCGAAGACATTAGAGAGCTTGCAGGAACATGACATAATTAATGAATCGCAACTTTTCGCATTGAGGGTTGCCATGACTATCAAATTTTTTTTTATATTCATAAAAGCTATGACTACGTTACTTTTACTCACTTTGTATAAAATATTGTGTCAATCAGGTATGGTACTATTCAATAAAGCAGCTTACACCTAATGTTAAAAGGGGCAAAATTTTGTGAATGCTTCAAGATTGCTCGTGAGGGAGTTCAATCATTATGTGAAAAGCTGGACATGGTGGACACTGGTAACGTGGACATACCCGACATTAATAGACCGAAGGCAAATGATATTTTGTTGGATCCATTACCGATCAAAGCTAAAGGTTCGGGGGCTAAAAAATCTAAAAGGAAGAAAGGAGACCCATGACAGTGTAGTAATTGCGGGGAATGGCACCACTATAAGTCCCGATGCCCACATCCTATTGGCTATGTGAAGCCAACCTCAAAAGATGATGCCCTGAATGCTGGTGTTATGCAAGAAGGTGGCGGTGGCGATGACACCAATGTTGATCCTCCCACCACTCAAGCTCAGTCGAAAATAGTGTAGAAGAGAAGGCAAAAGCATTGCAATAAATGCGGTTCTACCAATCATAATGCAAGAAAGTGTACTGGGTCTGGGTCATCCGAGGATAAAAATGAAGATGATGTTGATTCTCACGACGATGACGAGCAACCTAGGGTAAGAATAAAAGATAATTGTTCGTGTCTACACAATGCAGTTGCATCCAATATTTTTGTAGAACTAAAATCGTTGTTATCGATTTTGCAGAAGAGGCCTATTACCAGAAGTAGCAAGCTAAGGACCAGAGATTTGGACACTTGAGTTCGTCGGAATGCGTGTGTAAAAGGGCTTCAACTATTTGATCGGTGTTGGAAACTTGAACTGAAGCTGGAAGTCCTTCTCCTATGCGGCGTCGTTTGATATATAAGAAGACTGCTGCCTTCTGTGGTGTTGTTTAATTTATGTGTCTGTTTGAATAAGGCCAAGTCGTGTTATGGCTAAACATCAAGTATTTAAGGTCTTCTATCATCATCAATAATAATTGTCAGTTGAATAATTTTAAGCACTCTAAATAAATCATTTATAACATTTCAGTTGAATAATTTTAAGCATTCATTTTTTTATTGAATTATTATATCATATTTTTTAATATTGGCTACTAAAATTATGAAATGAAATTTTTTATTTTCCATTTCATTTTATTATTTTAGGCGTGAAATGAAAAGAGCATGTGGCGACAGAGGAGCAGAGTTCGAAATCCGGAAAAAATACTGTTGGCCCAATCGTAAAGACTTCTCAAAATGGAGTCAGTAATCAAGAAATAAAGTACAGTATTTTTATTGGGAGTGAAGGATCCCTCACCGATTTAGAAGATCTCAAACACTAAAAGTACAATTCTTGAAAAAAACAAAACACTGTACTTTCCCTCCCTCTTTTATCCTATTATACATAGGGAAAATTTCCCCTCTTGTATATAATTTCGGAGTATGATCAACATGTACGCATCAATATTGCGCAAAAAAACCCATCATATGACATAGGGTTCCACAATACCTATTATGAAATCGTAACAACATATGATGATTTTTTGCAATATTCATACGACGACTTGTTTTTCATTGCTCCCCTCACCGCCTCTCAAAAAGCCCCTATATTGAGAGAAAAGAAGAAACAATAAAACAAAGGAGTTAGTTTAACAATCATGATCTATGAAAGACATAATGAAAGGAACTGAGATCTAAAATAATACGCAGTATCATCATTACCACTGCAGCCGAAAATAAAGCATGGGACAGGAGGATGAAGAGGCGGCTGGGGTTCATTTTCAGAGTTTCATATCGAGAAAATGGGAGAAAGGGTTCTTTTCAGGGATTGAGAGGAGGAGGAACGAACAGCAGCAGGAGATGAGTGCCAGTCGGGTTTTGGAGCACGATCTCTCCTTCACTGATTAACAAATTTATAAATGGACTCGTAATTACTTTGCCTTTCCCTCCCTTCCCATTTACTGAAAATCACACTCCCTACCACTACCTTGGCCTTGGTAACTCCATCATTGGTTATGGTCAAATGCGACTTTCCGGATTCGGCGATATCTGATTGGGTGACACGCATGCAACAAGGATCAAAGGTATTTCACCATTGAATTAAGGGAAAAGTTTAGGAATTGACGGCGGGAGATGGGGATGTGCTTTTATAAATAGTATGGCTTTGTAGATTAACTAACTTTTTCGTTTAGCAACATTACTCTATTGATCTGGTTTATGTTATTCTAACTTGAATCATAACCCTAAACTCTAAACCCTCAACTAAGGCTGCCGAGTCGAGTTTTACTCCAGCTTGAGCTCGGCTCGTTAATAAACGAGTCGAGCTCGAGCTCAGCTCATTTATTAACGAGCCGAGTCGAGTCGAGCTCGAGCTAGCTTGTTTATTAAAATCTTAACTTTTATTTGATACTTCATTTTGTATATCATAATACATATGATTTATTTTGTTAGCTCATCTCATATTATACTTTGTGGGTATCATATATCATTTCGTTAATAATTTTGAACTACTCCAAATCATGTTATTTCATGGCATCGAAGCAATTTATGATGCATAATTTCTTTTTAAAGTAGAAATAAGATATATTGCTCACAAACTCAACGTGTTAAACTTTATATATGGTGAGATGTATAATTTAACAACCATATGAATTAAAATCATAAGATATAGATTGATTCGTCCATAAGTTGGTAATCGAGTTGGCTCTCTAGCCACATGTCAAGACATATCATGAGCTCTAAACGAGCCAGCTCACGATTTTAGCTCAACAAACCACCGAGTCGAGCTAGCTCGCGAGCTTCATGAGCTGAACAAAGATGAGCTCGTGTTCGGCTCGTTTATTAACGAGTCAAGTTTCGAACGAGCTTTTATCGAGTCGAACGTCGAGCCGCTCGCGAGTAGCTCGGCTCATTTGCAGCCCTACCCTCAACCCTATAACCTAAATCCTAAACCCTAATACCCGAACCAATCAATACCATATACTCTACAACATGAACACCTTATACACTAACCAATCAATACCATATATACTCTAAACCATCAACACCTTGCTACCTACCTTATACCCTAACCTTCAATACCTTATACTCTAAACCATAAACACCTTCTTCTATCTCCATCCCTAACTTTTAGCAATTGCTAAAGATGAGGTGGAGTTTAGGTGGCAAAAACTTAGCAATAGTTAGGGATGGAGGAGTTCTTTCTAAACTAGAAAGATTGCTAAATTAGCAATTCTTCTAGTAATGCCACATAGATAACTTTCTTTTTCCTTGTTTATTTACTTTTCAATTGATAAGTGTTTGTGTAGCTTTGAAATAGTAAATGGGACCCACTTTAGCAATTGCTAGCATAGTTTAGGGATGTAGATGACTAGAAATTGATAAGTGATAAATTGCTAAAATTGATGATGTGGCTGTAGGGACCACGTTTAGAAATTGCTAACCAATTTTAGGGATGGAGATAATCAATACTCTAACCCAATACCCTACACTCTAAACTATCAACACCTTATACAATATCGTATACCTATACGCTGATAAAAATTTTGCCCAACTAAAGTACATAGGTACTTCAAAATTGAAATTCTAACTTTCTTTTCAAAACATAAATTAAAAATTGATCCTCGCTAAGTATCGAACCACAAACCTCTACTTTATTGACTAAGCAACTAAAGGACAATTAAACAATTGAGCCACATCACATTTATGACCATTGTGCATAATTTCGCTTTCTTATTAAGTGAAGGTTTAAAATGAACGGTAAATATATCATAGGGGATTGTTTCAGCTTTGTCGGGGAATGAGATAGTGGAAAAGGGGGGGATTAATGAAGAGTTAAATTGGACGGATTGTCTTTAGCACGCCACTACAAAATCCTTCGGAGCAAAGACATGTTGGTTCAAATTGAAGAATAAATGAAGAAAGATGAACTTAAGAACTCTAACTAATTTTGATTCCATATGTGGCGAATCGCTAATGGCCGGGACCACCAACAAGGCAAAATCGTTAATAAGAACCTACCTTGCACACACCAAATCATTTTATCTCGTACCGATAAATGTGTAAAGAGACACACTACAATAATTATGTCTAAATTTCCTGACAATAAGGCATCATCAGCATTTATAAGCAGATGTAAAGAAAATATAAAATCGAGAAAAATAAAACAACACCTACCCTCGCCCTAACCAATCAATACCATATGCTCTAAACCATCAACACCTTATAACCTACCCATATACTATATACTCTAAACCATCAACAACCTAATACCCTAACCGGTCAGTACCCATTACCTTAACCATCAACACCTTATACAATAATCGTATACCTATACGCTGATAAAATTTTACATTTTGAAAATACTTGCCCAACAAAAGTACATAGGTACTTCAAAAGTGAAATTCTAACTTTCGTTTCAAAACATAAATTTAAAAAATGTCCTCACTAAGTATCCAACCACAAGCCTCTATAGTCTAGAAGAGGTTTGTTATCTATGAGTGCAATGCATAAAAAGGGGCAAACAGTGAGAGAGTGGAATAAGGGCAATTAATAAAGAGTTAAATTGGGTGGATTGTTGTTTACCTCGTACCATAAATGTGTAAAGAGACACACTACCATTTATCAAATCCCAAAAAAGATGGAACACATAATTATGTTTAAATTCCGTGAACTCAAGGCATGGTCAAGATTTAGAAGCAGAATCATATGTAAATAAAATATAAAATCAAAGAACCAAAAACTGTGATAGACAATTATCAAAGGCCCAACCTAATGACAATCTGGATCATGTACAAGCCCACTTTTGAATGTTATTTAAAAGCCTGAAAAAATCAATGATTAGACCCAGAGATAATACGGATCCCAGTCCAACTAGAATTAGTCCTAAACGTACCGTTAATACATAAACACAAGTTAAGCCGACCTCTCCATCCGATTCGAATCAAATTCTGTCTTCTTCATCTTCTTCCTCAATCCTCTGGGCGAGACGATCCCTACATCTCAGGAAACCTTAATTTCACCGAGAGATAGAAGTTTCGAGAAAATGACAATAACGCTAAGACAAGATGACAAAGCACTGGCGACATGAACCCTAGGGTTAGAAAAATGAAAAGTTTGATGAACACAATAATAGACATGGTCGTCGTAATTGTGTTAGAAAGAGATAGGTGAGTAAATTCCGGCTGAAATAAAATGGCGAAGAACAAAACGTCGATTGTGGATACAAGGATTTGTGGTTCAAAACGATGATTATGTGGGGATTTCAGAATGAAAGGGGATCTTCTCTTAGATTGTGGATACATAGATTTGGGGTTCAAAACATGATGATGTTGGGGATTTGAGATTGGATAGAGAGCTAAATCGAATGTGGATCAAATCATAAAAGGATTGGGTTTCGAAATGATGATTTTGTTGGAGATTTCATATTCGACGGGCAGCTTATGTTCGAACTTCGAACTAAGAGGGGAGTCCCCTCCAAGACTAATGAGGGACTGGAAATTGGTTAGGGCGGGGTGGGTCGTATCCATAGGGTTTAACCTCTTAATCCATATAATTAAACCGGATACAGTTAAGTTGAAGTCGAATGAAAAAGTTTTAACGCGTTGTGATGCTTTTTGTAATTTTCCTTGCCCCCGGTCTTCCGTACCCCGAATTTGGGCACCCTAGAACTGCCGGATAATTTAATGATATAGTAAATGTGTAGATAATATTTCATTATAACTTTGAGTGCATTGAAAATTTCAAATTAGTTAAAAATATAAAAGCGAATTTTACGATATGACTTAAGTGACTTACACTTTTTATCTCTACTCGATGATATCTCATTTTTTGTTAACAAATTACTTTCTCTCTGTATAAAAGGCCGCAAGCATTAATGCATAGAAAACAATTTCATCTGAAATATACACAAAAAGAATTTAAGAGGCGAGTCACTGTAAGTGTCTTGAAACTACATTGAAGCAAGCATAATAAGTGTCCAGTTTGTAGATATTAATTCATATTTTATAACTTTTTTTTGACAGGAAATTAAAAATGAATATTGGTTGTACCACCTCTAGTTCTGCCTTAATATTTGTCTTGCTATGTTCTGTGTTATTATTAGAACTTAATGTCATTACAGCACAGAGGTTGTTTGGGAGATCAAGAAAACAACTTTCTCGTTTGGATAAGTCTGCTGTTGCCACTATCCAGGTTACATTGCTAAATGAATTTATCCCAATTATTTATTTTCTTGATTATAATTGTAGTTAGTACCATCAAACTGATTTTTAATGGTTTTACTGCGTCCCTTGTCAAATAGACAATCCATGGAGACACATATAATTGTGTGCATTTCTACAAGCAACCGGCATTTGATCATCCTTTATTAAAGAATCGTAAATTTGATTATCAGGTATATGATTATTACATGTTTTTCTTATACCTTTTTAATACATTTAATTAAACACACTATTTGTATCAATAATTAATAAACGGTATGTCTTTTTTGGTTGCATTGTAGTTGAACTCTTCTTTACACGGTTTCGAAGCAAGAGCAACAGACTCAAGCTCATTTGGTGGCGAACACTTAGACATATGGTTGAATGGTAAAGGATGTCCAATTGGAACGGTGCCAATTAGAAAAACTACAAAAAATGATTTACTTAGAGCAAATTTAGCTGTTGCTGTTACGTCCAACCTCAATCCGGGAGTTCATGTAAGTATTTATTGTTTTATCCCGTGTGTTATATATCTTGGAATTTCTGGCATATAATCAGTAAACTGACATTATTTATAAAATAACAAGTAAAACTTGCAAATACTCATGTACAAACTCTTTGTTAATCATTGTAAAAAAAAAACTATTTGTTAATGCTTACAAATTACAATTATGCATCCGTTACACCTAGAATCCAAGGTGCACCACCAAACTCTTTGTGAAATGCCCATTAATGTTTACCATTTCATTATTATTTAATTTCATATTAATTTATATGAAAGTCATGATGAATTTGGTTTTTATTTGTTATATGCAAGCTAACCATACTTTGATATATTGGTCATGGAACCATATATTTTGTTACATAGGTTGCAGTACTAAGGTCTACTGGGGACAAAAGGTACCATGGAGCTTGAATGTACACTAGTGTATATAATCATGAGGTTCAAGCCAATCAATACACTTCTAGCCGTTTCAAACTCCAAAATGGCCCTGATAGTATTGCAGTTGGATGGGTAGTAAGTAACTAATGTAACGTATTTAGTCACATTCCAACCTTCTCAAATGACATAGCTACATATGATAATTAATGACACTACTACACAATAACCCCTTTTCGCATTTTTTGTGCTTAAGGTTAATCCGAGCTTGTATCAAGATTCGTACACTCGACTTTTCATATACACAATGGTGAATGTTTTATGATTATTTTACTTATTATTATCAGGAAAATATTTATTATTATTATTATTATTATTATTTTCAAAAGAATATATAAATTTGATTAAACATATTTGCAATTCTTAGACGAAAGATGTGCATTGCTACAACACTTACTGCCCTGGATTCGTGGTGACGAATCATGAAATACCATTGGATGTTATTCTTTCGCCTGTTTCCAGAAGAGGTGGACCGACATATGAACAAAATTTTTTTATTAGCAAGGTAATTTCTTAATACTCAAGTAAAAACCCAAATACATATGTTTTTATTTGAAATAGATAGTTGAGCTAAAACGTGTAAAGCAAAATTCCAAATGTTTGAATATTATTTGATCGTGAAAGCAGGATCATTACACTGGAGATTGGGTTCTCAGGTATGGAATTGACAATAAGGTTTTGGGATTTTGGCCGAGAGACATTCACGGGGTTAGCAGGATTTGCTAACTATGCGGAATGGGGAGGAGAAGTTTACAGTCCTCCAGGTTCCGTCATTCCAAGGATGGGATCTGGTTGTCGGCCTTATGGAGACGCAAAGCTTGATGGTTATGCTAGAACTATCATGGTTGTGGATGAAAATGAGAATGATGATTATAATCCCGCAGATTGTAAAATCTATCAAAGTGATAGAGTACACTATTGGGCGATTGATAAAGGAGATGTTGGGGGTACTTGGCGACGCCTTATTGAGTTTGGTGGGAATAGCTTGCTTTACAATCCGAATCTTCCCTATGCTTGTTGAGAGTCAATACCCAATAATAACATTTTTGTTTAGGTAAAAAAATATTTATTAAAAAGCTTGTTTATTTTGAAGTTTACCATTAATTTAAGAGCTTTCGAATTTCCATTTTCTTCGCATATTCGAGATACCAAGCCACTCCACCACTCCAAAATTTCAAATCTTGTTACTTTCACACTCTCATATAATGGTAGGGAATTTACTAAACCGATCAGTATCTAATCAATCTAAAAATGACAAAAGTGATCACAGCTTCCAAAGATGAGTCAATTTACTTAGGATCGGTAAAATGATTTGGTAAGCCAAAAATTATCAAGTTACTTGGCTTAATGTGGCTCTATGATAGCTCTCAATTAAACGGATTAGCTCTCAATTAAACGACTTACTCTTGTACGTGGTGGTAATAAATTAATTGGTCCTGCTGAGAGTTAACTCCTCGACCCAGTTGTGACTTGTTGGTTTAGGTTTGAGGTCTTGTATCTAACTAATGAATCAAACCATATATTAATTCCAGGTTGAACCTTAATCCAAAAGTCGAGATGTTACAGTCCAATCCATTAGCAATGTAGATGAGCAGTCGGCCATGCAAAACCAGAATCTCTATCGATTTTCCTTTGGCTATGACCCACACAAAAACTTAGGGGGTCGTTTGAATCGGTTTGGATGCATGACTGATCATAATTTCTTTTAAACGACTGCACTTGGGGAGAAATAGGCAAAAGTGATTTTTGGGTTCACATCCGGACCAAACAAGATCCATCCAATCGGGTGTCGATTAAAATTGGGTTCAATCTAATTCAGTTTCTTATTCGGTTAATTGGGTCAATCCAGTCCAATTTGACCAGTTCATACTGTTTTCTAACCTTACTGCTGCTTGGAGTTCATAAACTCCCACAACCCCACTTCTCAAGCTGATACTTTGCTTTTTTTTTTTTGTGCCATGATTATCCCGAGAGGGAAGCAGTCCGACGATGAATTATTTAGACCAAAATCATTCGTTAGAAACTCACTCATCATTAGAAGATTCAACTCTACTCTTTTACACGTTTGAAAATATAAATTTATCACGGATCATTTTGCTTTCTAGAACATTTATTTACTATACATCAAAGATCAAAATGCTTCAATTAATCAGCCGGCAACAACACACATATAACAGTAAACCCTTCACCAAGAAAACATCCAACATTGTCATTATATGCGGTAGGTATATGTGTTGGGATTTTTTTAATGGTGTGAATGGAATTGAAAGGAGAATGAGTAAAGAGAAATTCTGGAAATACTATTTTGGTTATATATGGGAAGGAGGCTTTGGATTAGGTCAATTGATTTGATTAAATTGTTTGGTAATTGGCCAAATTGGTTTGTGTAACCAACCGGACCAAATTGATTTGAACCGAACCGATGTGGCGGTTGGAGTGAACCAACCAGTCCAACTATCATGGGCGAACCCATGCAATGGTTCATAATTTTGAAATGAACCAATGTGTTGGTTGGGGTGTAACCACCCACCCGAAGGGTCACAGCCCTTCACATACACCCCTTCATTTTCTATAAATGCACCATCCCCCTCTGTTATAAAAAAAATGAATTTTTCAATAGATTTTCGGCCGAAAGAAAGAAAATAGTTTTTTCTTATTCATTTCTTTTTTTCCCCTCTCTACAAACACATAAAAGAAAACAGTGTCGTGTGACTTCTCGCCGTTCGTTGCGTTCGATGGTTTCTGGGGTTTCAAGTACCGTTACGCCAGAAAAGGTACGTCCGTTCTATCCTGGGAGGAATAGTTCCATTAATCTTGGGTACCATAGCGGGGAACTAAATTTCTTAAGGAGAAATAGTGAATTCTATTGGATCGGACGGGGTTTATGCATGAGTCATGTTTTGTAACACCCCATTTTCAGGTTAGGGTTCGATTAAGGTTCGACCGAACGTTTGGATCGACGGTTACGTACAAAGAGTTACAACCACAGATTAGGGATAATAATAATAATAATAATAATAATAATAATAATAATAATTACATTATTATTATTATTATTCATTAGAATGAAACCCTAAACCCCCACTCGGCATCACGTGTAGAATTCCTTTTCCCCAAAAGCTATTGCTTTTCTTCTTCTCAATTCCGCCTCTCACCAAGCGAAGATACCGACCGTGACCGAATTGAGATTATTGGTGGTCAATCAAGGTGGAGGCCACAAGTTTGCATTGATATGGAACGAGATCATGATGGCTTTCAGGGAAGAGGATTTGATCAGTTATAAAGAGCTCGAGCTCGAGCTCCTGGACCTTACACGAAGATTGAGTCAAGCCAGGTGGAGGGCGTCTCACCATCCTTTACCTCTCACTATTATTGCTCCACGTCACCAGCAATACAAGATGATTATGGTGGGGGACTAGATTTTCGTGGGTCAAAAGGGTAAGCAGAGTGCAGCCTTTATTCAATTGTTGTTTTGATTATTATAACACGGAACCAGTGATGGGAAAGGGGTTCGGTGCCAATAGTTGTGGAGGCGAGTTCTACATGGTTGCATTGCGTTAGGAAGCGTTGGTAGCTCTTGTGATGGTGGTACCGCAGCTAATAGTTGGTCGTCTCCGAGTGATCCCGCGACAAGGCGATGAGCAAAAGAAAAAGGTATTCCATCAAGACATATGGTTTCATGGTTATGATAAGGGGTTTAGTAGAGGCAATTAAAGAAATCAATTGGTGGCTTTGCTTTGATGAACCATAGGACGTGTTCTAGACCATGTGGACGAAACGATGGCTTGAGTAAGGATAACGAGCAAGCCGATCAGACTATGAATGAGGACTCTCAATTACTTTAGTAAGGTGAGTGCAAAAGGGGTAAATTCTACGCCTTACGGGTTCTTTCAAGAATTACAAGTCTTGAGTATTTTGATGAAGTGAATGTCGTTGGTTGACTGTATTGCTTATGGTTGATGATATGTGACTTTGTTTGAGCTATGCTTGATGTGAGTGTGCATGAGTTCTTATTTAAATTTAAGCTTTAAGTTTATAAGTTATTGTTAAAGTTAAGAAACAAGTTCTTTTTAAGAAGTAACTCACCTTCAAGAAGGTGAAGTCATTTTAAGTGTTTTTAGTCACTAGCGCCAATCCGTTGCCTTTTGAGACATTTTGAGATAGAGCAGCAGTTATGCTCTTGAGACTTTTAAGATGGGCAGGAGTTATGCCCTTGAGAATCGTGGTGAAGAGCCACCACGATAAGTTTAGGATGTTAGGGGGATGAATCGTTACGACTTCCCTAACTAAGTTTAAGTTTAAGGAAAGCCTGGATGGCTTCTCATATGTATGAGTTGGCAACCAGACTAGCTAGTGAGGGATCCCCGTGTCAGTCAAGTATTTAAGTCAAGATTTGAGGTTTAAGAATGGAGTAACAGTAACTCCCATTCAGTTTTAAGAGTTAAGCTTTTTAATAGTGGAAATACAAAACAACTTCCACTCAGTTAAGTAAAGTAATCAAGTCTTAATAAGATGTTAAACGTAAGGGCGTAAACTGACCCCATCTCACTCACTAGTTTGAAGAGCTAGAGGAGGAGCTAGAGGAGCAGTTAGTAAGCAGCGAGCTGGATGGCAGCCAGCTAGAGAAGGGCAGTATAAGCGTCACGGAGGATGCTTAGTTAAGGATTTAAGTAGCAGCAACATTAGGGACTATTAGTTATTTACATTTATGATTATGAGAATAGACTGGAAATCACTTTGAGATTTTAAGTACTGAGTTTGCCCACTTGTAGGGCTTTGCTTTGAACTACAGGAGTGTGTTTTCAGTATTTTGTTATGAAATTTTTCCCGCTGAAATTTAAGCTTTGGTTATTTTATTTTTCAAGGGCATTTTATTAAAAGTAGTACCCGGCCGGATTAGGGTGTGCCATGTTTTCTTCTTCTAAATGTTTTGTTCAATTTAATTCCTATATGTGACTTGTGTTGCAAAATATATGGTATACGTGAACAATTTTCACAACAATCTTAAGGAATTTATGTCATGTTATTGTTCACGTTGGTTTCATGTAAAATTGCATCACAATTTGATTATTCGTCATATTGGTTATGCCATGCAATTTTCGTGTGTCCTTGCAAATGTTGGTGGTAGAGCACTGATATTCTGTATTTCACATTCTAGTTTATTTGATTAATTAAGGCAACGCATGCAGCAGTGGTCTTTGTGATAAAATAACATCTGCTCTTGTTGCTGCATGAAGAAAAAAAGATACGTTGCGCGTTTTTCCCCCGGATAATTGCAAGTTTCGCATGGTAAGTTTTCATGGATGAAGTTTTTTTTTTATAAACAATTTGAAAGTTGCAACCGGATTAGTCTGGAAAATTCTTGCGTCCAATCCCCGTTGGAGCTACAAGCTTCAACTTGTAGCTCCAACCTGCCAGTTGGCAGCATATTAGTGGTTATTTATTCTTCCTTTTCCCCTTATTTTTAATGTCCTTATTATTGCTTTATGATTAACCAAATTAGAAATTAAAAAATGAAAAGAAAAAATAACTTGCACGGAAACGAAATAAGAGATAAGACGGATGGGAAAGCTGCAACTTCTAGGATATGAATCTAATTAATTAGATCATATCTTAGGTGTATATGTTCTTGTATAGAAAAATTGGCCGCCATAGAAAGAACCTGAAAGTTGAGTGCCCTATAAGAGATATTTCGTATGTCTTATACAATAACAACCAAGAGACAATTGCTTTGATAATTCTTTGAAATACTTTGACAATTTCAAAATTTGATTCCTCCATTGTACAAAATACGAACAAATATCTCACAAGTTCATAAATAGTTTTCCAAAAAATTGAACACCATTCTAATATTACAGTGCCAACATTAATAGAATATCTAAATAAAAGAATCAAAGTCAACAATCCATTGCGGTTGAAAAATAAATCTTGTCACAAATTTCGATCATCAGAACGTGAATTTTCTATTGCTTCATGCAAAAAAAGAAAAATTGACATCAATTTAAAAAAGTAACAAATAAAATTATAAAACATACATAACAATTATTCTTGTTTTCTATACCTGTAACATTTGAGTGTATGATATATTATTTAAAGGTATTGTCTGGTTGTACTCTTCGTGAATATATCATGTTGGTCTAGTAATCAAACTTTTTTTTTATAAGGATGATATAAATTTGCGATTCATATTGTTCAATCTCCGCCTACAAAATTTAAAATGTACATCAATACATAGAAATATACAAAAGTTCATTAAGGGTAGCAAATATACTATTTTTTAAAATATTTTAAAACAACAAACCTGATCATTTTGAATGTGAACTTCAGAGTAACTTACAATTTGTAGAGAATCATCAGCTTTCATCTTCTTACCCTATATAATACTAGGATCAGTTAAGAAAATAAACATAGTACACTCTTCTTCTACTTAAATTAGAAAAAGCTAAAACAATCACCTGATTGTTTAGACCATGCATGATTGTTTACAAATTGTTGAAAAGAAATTCCTTTCACTTTAGGAGCAAAGAATTCCCAAAGCAATTGCCTCTTGGTTGCTATTGTATAAAACATACGAAATATCTCTTCGCCCGCAGTTTCGTTTCAACTTGCACAGTTGCACTCAATTTTCAGGTTCTTTCTATGGCGGCCAATTTTTCTATACAAGAACATATAAACCTAAGATATGACCTAATTAGATTAATAACCTAGAAGTTGCAGCTTTCCCATCCGTCTTCTGTCGTTTCCGTCCAAGTTATTTTTTCTTTTATTTTTTAATTCCTAATTTGGTTAATCATAAAGCAATAATAAGGACATTAAAAATAAGGGGAAAAGGAAGAATAAGTAACCATTAATATGCTGCCAACTGGCAGGTTGAAGCTTGTAGCTCCAACGGGGTTGGACGCAAGAATTTTCCGATTAGTCCCATGCATGAAGTAGTACTTATCTCTTCTTGCAACTGCTTAGTCTGAAACGTAGTATTGTTTCGGTAAGGAAATGTCGTGAACTATACATGTTGTGACCGATTGGTGTACTGATTACACAAAGCATCCATTTTTCCTTCTAACTACCCTTAAACATATATTGTTTTCGACTTTTTGTGATCATTCTACTGGTTGATTAACGAGTTAGTGGCATTCGGCAGTAGGGATGGCAACTTTGTTCATACCCATGGGTTTCTTACTATCCAACCCAATTGGGTTGGGTATGAAATTCAAATAGATGGATGTGGGTAGAGTTTGATGGGTTTGTACCCATACCCATTTACTTTGGGTTGAGTTGGGTTTATATCAAATGGATTTGGGTTTGTACCCATGCCCAAATACAAATTACAGTTTGGTACCCAAACTTAATAGACATGCATATTTAGTACCTAAATTTAATTTTTTTGCATATAAGTCCTCAAAATATCGATGGAAAATTACGTTTTGGTACCTAAATTTTTTTGGTCTTACATTTTGGTACCTAAACTTTTCAAGTTTTGCAAATAGGTCCAATTGTTGCATGTGTAGTTAAA